CTGAAGAAGGGTCTAGGCCCGAAATGTCAGCCTTCCTGCTCCTCTGATGCTGCTTGGCCTGCTGTGTTCATCCAGCTCTACACCTTGTTATCTCAGATTCTCCAGCATCTGCAGTTCCTACTATCTCTGAACCAATAGCAAAGGGGTAGGTTTTCTAAAGTTTAGTGATTTAAACTAGATTACAATCTGGAAAAAGGAATCTCAGCAGCTCTACAGGGTAGCACAGAGTCACCAAAAGCAACTTCTGAATTTCTACATTTAACTGTTGAATAAATGTATACATTTGAAACTCCACTGTCATTACTACCACAAAATTCATGTCATCTTGTTTTGAATTTGGTGTTAGTATTTTTTTTGCTGCATTAACACAATGTGGGTTACACCAGTGGGTTCTGTTTGTAATGAAAATATACATGGTGAAAATCTTAGGGGAAACATGCATACATTTTAAGAGCTAGCATTTTTAAAGATGTCTCAACTTGTAAATGACTCTTTTATAATGTAGCTTACTAAAGGAAATGAAAACAGTTAAAAGCACTTTCTTCAAGTATATGTTGCATTAATGAGTTTTTAACAGTATTACTTTTTTTTTGCTTTAGAAAACAATTGCGCAAGTCTTAGTTCATCTACATAGGAATGACTATGTAGCTGCAGATAAGTGTGTTCGGGAAAGTTACAGGTAAGCATTAACAAAATGTAAAAGCAAAGTCCTTTGGATTCTGGAAATCTGAAATAAATAGTAGTGCTGGAGAATCTCAGCAGGTCTGTCAGCATCTGTGAAGAAAGAAACAGAATTAACTTTGAGTATCTTCATTGATGCTGCCACACTGACTGAGCTTCTCCAGCTTGTCCTTGTTTCATTAACAAATTATTTCAAGCTACCTCTGTAGATGAGAAAATACCTTACCAAAAACAATATGCAAACACGGTGATCTATTGGATTAACAATTAGCACACTGTCCTCCAATTTGAACTGTCACCTTAAACACTTTGTCACAGCTCATAGGTTTTTAAAAAATTATTCACAACATGTGTATGTATGTGATTCTGTCAGAATTAAATGCCCATTTTCCTAATTGCCCTGAGGATAGTTAAGAGTCAACCACATTGCTGTGGATCTGGAGTCACTCATAGGCCAGACCAGGTAAGGACAGCAGAATGGAAAGAGTGCAGAAGAAATTTACAAGGATGTTGCCAGGACTCAAGGGACTGAGTTTAAAGGAGAGATTGGATAAGCTAGGACTTTTTTCTTTAGAGGGTAGGAGACTGAGAGGGGGATCTTATCGAAGTGTATAAGATCATGAGAGGCATGGATAGGGTGAATGCACTCGGTCTTTTTCCCAGCGTTGGGCAATTGAGGGCTAGAGGGCATCAGTTTAAGGTAAGATGGGAAAGAATACATGGGAACCTGAGGGGCAACTTTTTTGCACACTGGTGGTATGCATATGAAATGAGCTGCCAGCGGAAGTGGTTGAGGCAGGTACATTAACAACATTTAAAAGGCATTTAGACAAATACTTGGATAGGAAAGGTTTAGAAGGAGATGGGCCAAGTACAAGGAAATGGGGTTAGCATGGATGGACATTTTGGTTGGCGTGGACCAGTTTTGGGCTGAAGAGCCTGTCTCCGTGCTGTAGGACTCAATGACTCCATTTCCTTCCCTAAGGGCATTAGTGAACCAGATGAGTTTTTATGATATTTGACTGCAGTTACATGGTTGCCATTGGGTTAGCTTTTCATTTCAGATTTTTACGTGTTCAAGTTTCACCATCTGCTATGATTGGATTTGAATCCATGTCCCCAGAACATTAACCTGAGGTGCTGAATTCATTATCATTGGCAATCATTCACTAATCCATATGATTGTCCACCTCGGACGTTTCGAACCACTGGTCATGAATCCTGTGGGTCCTTCCGTGGCTAATGATCCTGATCCTAAAGCCGCATTTCCAACCACATATTTAGCAAGTGTTTCTGGGAGGTGGAATTGGTCCTTGGCCTTGAAATTGCCGGTATTCCATTCCGTATATCTTTTCTGTACCACCTCTTGTCAACAATGCTCCTTCATACAGGAGCTTATTCCTGGTTGGTTTCTTCTGAACAAGGGCCTTTTTTGCATCGACGTCTTAGTTGCATTTCCTTAAGGTAGTCTTTGAAAAGCTGCCTTTGACCTCATCTAATTTAAGTGTCTTCCTTGAGCTGAGAGAAGATGATTTGCTTTGGCACTCAGAACTCCGGCATTCTAAGCACGTGGCTGATCCAGCGGAGTTGGTTTCGAATTTTCTTGGCCTCGATGCTGGTGCAGTTGGCTGCTTCAAGGATTCGGATGTTAGTATGCCTTGTCTTCCCAGCTGATGCGGAGAAACTGTCTCAAACAGCCTTGAGGTGGCATCTATATGTAGTCCAAGTTTCACAGCTGTATTGAAGAGTCGGTAGGATGACTGCTTATCGTTGACAGCAGCAATCACTTTCTCACAAATATGATTGTCCCCTTAGTTAATTCCATATCATTGGTCTTGGGTTTGTAGTTCCTTGTGTGGCTGATGAATCTGATCTTAGAGCTACATCTTTGACCACACATTTGGCAGATGTTTCCGGAAGGTGTAATTAGTCCTTGGCCTTGAGATCATTGGCATTCCTGTCTCTGGTTTATTTTCTGTACTTCCTCCTGCCGTCAGGTGTTCTCAAAGAATTGTGTCCCTTGTACAGGAGATTGCTCCAAGTTGTTTTCTTCTGAACAAGAGTCGCCTATGGGTTGACATCTATGTTGCATTTTTTTCAGGGAAGCCTTCAGGGAGTCTTCAAAAAATTTCCTTTGTTCTCCTCTCATTTGAGTGCCTTCCTTGAGCTGGGCGAAGATGGATTTGCTTTGGTAGTCAGAATTCAGGCATTCTAAGCAGAGTCAATTTCAGATCACCATGGCCTTCATACTGGTGCTGTTGGTTGCTTCAAGGAAGCTGATGTTAGTATGCCTGTCCTCCCAGCTGATGCAGAGAATCCGTGTCAAACAATGTCGATGATGTTCCTCAAAAGCTCTTCAGGTGGTGTCTATACATACCCCAATTTTTGAAACCATATAGAAGAATTGGAAGGACACCTGCCTTGTACATAAGGATCATGGAATCAGCATGATTCATGGTTGTCGAAGACTCACATCCTTAGGTGTCTGAAGATTAGATGCAGTGTTGAATCTTTGCTTCGCTGGCAGCTTTGTATGAGAGGAACCTTCTTAGTTAGGGAAAATGTTGCATGTTTAGGGGATTTCTCCGTTGATCTTAATGGTGGAATGGACCAGAACATGACCCGTGACAGGTTGGTAAAGGATTTGAGTCTTTTTGAGGCTGAGGCCAATTCTTTGGAATACTTTTGGAAAGGCATTAAGCGAGGCTTGAAGATTCTCTCCTGAGAGAGCAGAGATGACATTGTCATCTGCATATTGAAGTTCCACATGTGAAGTCAGTGTTGTTTTCTTCTTGGATTTCAACTGGCTGAGGTGGAAAACTTTTCCATCCATCATGTAGACAATGTCCACGTTAAACCTGGGCTTATGGATTTGTGTCCAGTGACATATGCCACCACCTCCCCAACTCAGTGAAATCAGTAGAGGTAGGTTCAATTTAGTCTTATGGATATATCAATAAAGTGCCATATTGCTGTAAATTATGCTCATGCTAAATTATATCACTGGGGAGACCTAATTCAGTGGTTGGTTGAGTTATTTGGTAACACAGTGCGTAAATAAAAAGTGTTAAAACTGTTGCATGTGGCAGTGGCTATGCTGCAGCTGCAGCCCAACTGCAGCAGATTAGGTGACCATTGGAACTGGGGGTGCTATACCAAAGCAGAGAAGGAAAGACTGCCCAGGTGGATCCAATAAACTTTCTCGTCTGACCTGACGGCTTGCTGATTTTCCTTTCTGCTATGTTATTTTATTTAATTTAATCCTTCTATGATGTGGAGGTGCTGATGTTGGACTGGGGTGGACAAGGTCAGAAGTCACACGACACCAGTTTATACTCCAACAGGTTTATTTGAAATATCAAGCTTTTGGAGCGTCGCTCCTTCAGGTAGAGTGACGAAGCAGCAGCGCTCCAAAAGCTTATCATTTCAAATAAACCTGTTGGACTATAACCTGGTGTCATGTGACTTCTGACCTTAACCCTTCTAGGTCACCAGAAAGGACATTCAACTACCTACACATTCATCGAGGCTTCAAACCTACTAGGCTTTGAAGGCCTGCAGGAATATGACTGTGACGGTTTTCCTGCTGGCAAATGCGAATTCATGTCCTTGTCATTGGGCGTCAGAACTCAAAGTAAAATCCTGCCCTTTGTGTTTGGACAAAGAGGTGTTCCATTTCTAATTACTAGAATCTTCTGGATTTATGTCCAAATTTTTGGCACAGATTTGTTTTAAGTGAAAATCTATTATTCTGCAAACCTAAACACGTATTTCTTGAGTTTGTAGACCTGCTCGCCGAGCTAGAGGGTTTGGTTGCAAACATTTCGTTACCCTGCTAGGTAACATCATCAGTGTCCCTCCGGTGAAGCACCTGTATTCTGTTCCGCTTGTTATTTATATGCCTCGGTTTGCTGCAGTGGTTGGTTTTACTTCCAGTTCTGTTTCTCGGTGGTTTGTACACAAACGGATGTGTTTGTTGATGGAGTTCGGCTTGGAATACCAGGCCGACAGGAATTCCCTGGCGTGTCTCTTTGGCTTATGTGATTAGGGACGCATTGTCCCAGTTGAATTTGTGTCCCTCGTTATCCATATGTAGTGAGATAAGTGAGCATTGGTCGTGTCGCTTGGTGGCTAGTTAGTGTTCATGTATCTGTATTGTCAATTTTCTTCCAGTTTGGCCTATGTAGTGTTTCTCACAGTCCTTGCATGGTATTCCTCAACATCATCAAGGACACCAGGATAGAAGAGGATGAGATGATGATATCCTTTGATATAACAGCACTATTTACATCTATAAATATCAATCTAGCCATAGAAACAATTGCCACACTGCTGGACGAATCAAGTAGGCAGGCAACCCAGGACACCAACAACATCAATAAGGTCACCACCATGAAACTACTAGATTTGTGCCTCAGAACCCACTTCATCTTTAACGATAACATATACAAACAAATCAACAGAACACCAATGGGATCCCCAATATCAGGATGGATTACAGAATCAGTAATGCAAGGGTTAGAACAGACAGCACTCCCCAGTATACAACCCAAATTTTGGATCTGCTTTGTAGGTGACTCCTTCGTGATTATTAAATGCACAAAACTAGAAGAAACCCACCAACACATAAACAACATCCTTGCCACGATAAAATTCATGAAAGAAGAAGGGAGCAACAACCGACCACCCTTCCTGGACATAACAGTAGAACACCAAAACAATGGGGAACTCCAGACTAGCAAACATAGAAAGACCACACGCACGGACTAGTTACTCAGTCACAGATCACAGAATCCCTACTGTGTGGAAACAGGCCCTTCAGCCCAACAAGTCCACACTGACCCTCAGAGGATCCCACCCAGACCCATCCCATATAACCCACCTAATCTACACATCCCTGAACACTATGGGCAAGTTAGCATGGCCAATCCACCTAACCTGCACATCTTTGGACTGTGGGAGGAAACCGGAGCACCCAGAGAAAACCCACGCAGACACGGGGAGAATGTGTGAACTCCACACAGCCCAAGGGTGGAATTGAACCCGGGTCCCTGGTGCTGTGAGGCAGCAGTGCTAACCACTGAGGCACCATGCCACCCCATTACACTAGCAACCACCCCAGCGCCCACAAACCGAGCTGCATCAGGACACTATTTAAATGAACCACAACACATTGCAGCAACCTGGAACCAAGCAAAGCAGAACAGGAGCACCTATACGGAGTCTTCAAAAGGAATGGATACCCGAAAAGCACAATCCGCTGTTACCTCCAAGACAGACCATAACAGGAAGGCACAACACGATCAGACTCACTAATCACCCTACCGTACATCAAGGACATTTCAGAGATGATCACAAGACTACTCAGACCTCTAGGTATCAGAGTAGTCCACAAACCGACAACCATCCTATGACAGCTTCTGACGAACATAAAGGATCCCATACCTAAAACCAGCAAAGCTTGGGTAATATACAAAATACCATGCAAGGACTGTGAGAAACACTACATAGGCCCAGCTGGAAGAAAACTGACAATACGGATACATGAACACCAACTAGCCGCCAAGAGACACGACCAATTCTCACTTGTCTCACTACACACGGACAATGAGGGACATGAATTTGACTGGGACAACACATCCATAATCTCACAAGCCAAACAGAGACACGCCAGGGAATTCCTGGAGGCCTGGTGTTCTAACCGGAACTCTATCAACAAACATATTGAATTAGACCCTGTGTACAAACCACAGAAATAGAACCGGAAGTAATACCAACCACCCCAGCAAACCGAGGCATATAAATAATAAGCAGGAGAGAACACCTACGCTTCACCAGAGGTGCCCTGACAATGTTACCTAGCAGGGTGACAAAACGTTTGCAACAAACCCACCAGCTCAGCGAGCATGTCTACAACCTCATCCACAACCGGAGCTACAAATCTTCTCAAACTTCAAAGATGTATTCTCGTAGTCAGCAGTTTTCAGTTGCTTAAATCCATGTATGTTAATAATTTATGTAAACCCTGTTTATAACCATTTAATTAAAATAATTATTTATATCCTTGTTGCTCTTTATAATGAGAGCCCGGTATTTGTTCTGCAAATTTAAATACTAATCTTCATAAAATTCTCTTCTGTAAAAAAAAAATTAACATTTTTAACATGTTTAAAACAAGAAATATTTTGTCCACATTTTCTATTCTGCAATGTTGTGATCTTTTATTCCAATAATAGTACTGTCTTCTTTTATTATAAATATCATCCTCACTGTTGAGGTATACTAATTGTGTAAAATCCTAATAACGCCTTCATTTCTATCATTTGGTTGAGAGATAAGAGGAAAGGGGTAAAACTTCTTTATTCCAGCAGTATGAAACTGCCTTGAAGCATATTGAGGAGTGACTTTTCACCAAATCATTTTTATTTTCCATTGATTTGGAAAATATGGTCTGTTGACTTAGAAAATATTTTCAAGGTTATTAACTTTAAATAAAGTAAAAGTGACATTGTGACTAGAAAACAAATCTTCAGAGTTTGAATCTTTTGTTCTGTGGACTCCAGTGGAAGAATTTTGCGCATTGGAAAGTTACCTTCTCATTCACTACGTGCCAATTTTACACCCAAATTGGAAAAAAGACATTTTTCTAAAACCATTATTCACTGATACGTTTTTTATATCTTTCTATTTCTAGCTGTACACTAGTTTACAGCGAGCAATAAGAATTTGTAGTGCTTGTGAACAAATTTGTGGGAATCTCTTTATAATGGAACCAAGTTGGCAAGATTTGGGATCATTGTATTTCCATGATATATCTCTGAAATAACTGCACGATGGCTAGGTCCCATTATCAAGTCACCCTTTATTTAGCATAGTATATAGTATAGCACAGTATACTGGCTGTGGCCAGCCAGCTCGGAGTCAGTCCTCAACTGAGGAGATTCTAATCTCTTTCTCATATTGGTCAGCCCAGGTTAACAACCCTAATCAAGAACCTCGTAGTTAATGAGGTCAACCTGATCCCAATCACTACAATCTCTTAAAACGATTCACGATCAAAGTTGTAAATCTGCCTTCTAACAATTACTATTCTTAAATATGGATGCCCTTTAATTTTAGCATAGAAATCTGTAGTTTTAATAACTTGAGGGTGGAGTTCATGGTGATTATGGAACAAATGTTAAAGTACACAGTATTCATGTATATGTTTGGCACCTGGGAAATGTGGCCGAGATAAACTATTCAGGGTTTGAACGAAGATTTGTAGCTCGGGTGCTGGTTGTAGATGTTGGTGTGTTCGCCAAGCTGGGAGGTTTGTCAGCAGATGTTTTGTCCCCTTACTAGGTGACATCCTCAGTGCTGTGGAGCCTCCTGTGAAAAGCTGTTGTCTTGTGCTGGTTCAAATTTATATGGTCTGATTTTTGCTGCTTCTGGTAGGTGCCAGTTCCGGCTGTGCTTTTTAATTACCACGCGCAGCTGGAACCAGCACCTACCAGAAGTAGCAAAAACCAGACCGTATAAATTCGAACCGGAACAAGACAACAGTGCTTCACAGGAGGCTCCAAGGCACTCAAGATGTCACCTAGTAAGGGGACGAAATGTCCGCTATCAAACCTCCCAGCTCGGCGAACACACCAACATCTGGATAAATTATTGTATTTTATTGTTCCAAGTTTAAATAAAAAAACTGACTAAGAAGCTGAATAAATGTGTTTATATTTATTCCACAAAATTCAGCTCATGTTGGATAAATTATGGATGCAGTTTCTGACATAGTTCTTTTTGTACATAGCATCCCAGGATTTAATGGCAGTGAAGACTGCATTGCTTTGGAGCAACTACTGGAGGGATTTGATCAACAAGACCAGGATCAAGTTTCTGCTATCTGTAATTCGCCTCTCTTCAAATACATGGATAATGATGTAAGCTTGCTTAACCACTATTTTCTTGACTGCCAGTATTTTTGTATGAGAGTATAAGCACATATGAAATGGAACCAGAGTAGGCTACTCAGCCCCTCAAGCCTGCTTTGTCAGTCAATAAAATTGTGATTGATCTACCACCTCAAGTACACCTTCCTGATATATCCCCCTGTCTCTATATCCCTTGATTCCCTTATGATGATATCAGTCTTCAATATGTATGCTCCACAGCCATAAAGATTCACAACACTCATTTATCCTGATATCAGAATTAAAATGCTGATTTCTTATGCTGCCTCTGTGACCCACTAGTGTTATGATCAGATCCTGGCTGCGGTTCCGCAATTCCTTATGGTTCCCAAAGAGGTGCCTCAAATTGTTAAGCTCATAGGTGAGGATCAACGAACTGGTTCCCCTTCTTTATTCACCACTCCCTTGGTTGATTGCAGCATTGTTAATTTAATAAGGACCTCTTCCCATTAGTGGATATCTTCTCCCAATCCCAAATGAACTTTGTTTTTAAAGACGTCAATTTAACCAGGCTTTCCTAAATTAGCAAAAAGAATTATCACACGAGAAGAAATATTATTGTACCATAGAAACATAGAAATATGTAGTGCATCTAAGAGATGAAAGTTTAAAACAAAACAGTCTTTGAATTATTTGTAGAAAGTGAATAGTTGAGCATTGCAACACCGCTGCAGTGGACATTACCAGTAATATTGACTTTGGTGGTTTTGGACTGGATTTTTTTTTTAAAACTGGTGTTCAGCAACTAAGGGTTAACTAGGGGATAATTCTTCAACTGTGACCTTCACAATATATTAACACTTAAACTTAGCTTAGTTCACATGAAATCTTTCAATCCTATTTGTCCACTTCAATAGAGTTGGAATTGGCTCTCTGCTGGCTTAAAGTGTCCTTGTGTATTCTTTCAAGGAAAAACACAAAATATATCTACTGTTTGGGACATAACCTGCAGGAGGTGACGTGCTGTTAAGCTCCTTGTTATCTTTGTAGTCACAAGAGACAACTCCCTAGTCTGTTTAAAATTTCCTTAACACCTTAAGGTGATACATCCAGATGTCTTTTTTAAACAGTTGCAGTTATTTTGTCTCTGTTGTGGTCCTCTTTTTCGAAACAAAAAGTTCGGAATTAAGGGCTAAAAATGACCGTAGAATATCAGGATTCTGACTTGTCATCGTAGCATTAGCTCTTGACTCTGCAGCTGGGGAAAAGGGCATCTGAACATCTTCCTGTTCAATGCTCTAGGCCTTTGTACATTTCTTGCTTAAATAAATGCTATAATTGTGTAGAAATTCTGTAATTGAATTTCTACACAAGTAAATTATAGCATTTATTTGTAATTGAATTTCTACAATCAAATTTTTTTAATTAAACACTATATAAACAATATGAAAATTAGCAAACTTGAAACCATCCATCTCCTATATCCTTGAATTTAGTAAAAGTACTGCTCTACTTTCGTCTTTATCTATTTATAGATCAAACTTATTTAAAACAAACTAAATTCAGCATCACCTTTATTTTAAAATTTTCATTCTTGTTTTCAGAATCCTGTATGGATTCACTGCTCTCTATTCTTGTAATCCTCATTGGTTCACAATCATCTGAATTAACTGCATTGACTCTGGTGTCTTCAACTTCTTTTGATCACTTAATGATTCACCTTCACGATAGCATCATCCAAACCCATGACCTTTGCTTTCTTGTTCTTCTAGGTTATAGATACATGAAAATATCACCACCTGCAAGGTCATCTCCAAGTCACACACCATCTTTACTTGGACTATATTGCCAATCTTTAATTGTTTCATAGGAATCTCTTCTTAATTGCACTGTGGATGTATCAACACCACATTGACTGCAATGTTGAAGAAGGTGGCTCACCAATCAGATGGGCAACAAATGTTGGCATTGCCAGCACATTCACACTTTACCATGCTCCCAAAATGGCTATATAGAATAAATAAAGTAGTTAAGAAATAAGATTAGTGTACAAATGAAAAAGATAAAAAATAAGTATTTTTATATTTTCAACCAATTTTTTAATTGGACCCTTAGTTTATATTGCTGCTCCTTGTTCTTTCTATCAAATTGTGCAGAATGCCCTGCCTTTTACATACACATATGTACAAATCACTGAAGATAGTAGGACAGGATAAAAAGTGTGAGATCCTGGGCTTTATAAATAGCAGCGCAGAATGCAAAAGAAAGGAAATTATGATGAACCTATATAAAAAGCCAGTCTGGAGTATTGTGTTCAACTTTAGGCATCATACAACAGAGCAAATGTAAAAGCAGTAGAGGGCAAGTAAAGATTTATAAGAATAGTTTCAGGGAGGAGGAACTTCATTCGATTGGCTAGATTGGAGAAGTTTGGGCTGTTCTCCTTGGAGAAAAGATTGAGAAAATAAATGTTTTCAAAAAGAGTGACTGTTCCCAGTACATTCAAGATGCTGCCTACCAGCATCTCTTAATGTGTTTTTGATTTCTGTGATAATGTGCTTGCCTTTACTGGTGCAAATTTATGGTGGAGTTCTATGCTACAGGTCAAACTGGAGTGAATACAAGGAACTGCAGGTACTGGAAATCTGAAACACAAAAATTGTGCTGGAGAAACCCGCATCAAGGACTTCATTTTGTTCAGATGTTTAGTTTAGGATGATGACCCCCTTTCAGATACCACCCAGATTGTTGATGTGTTCATGAAATACCATCTGATCCAACAGAGCACTTCCTTCTTGCCGGATGCCATCAAGAATAAACATCCAGATTTGGTTACCAACACGCTTGGGGTGGGGGCAGAGTGGAGTACATGGAGACGTTGCTTAGAGAAAGAGAAAGAAAAGGGATAGGCCATCAAAAAGATTGCTGACGATCAGCCGAAAGAGAGAGATAATAACTAGGTGGGGTGCTATCGTGAACTATAAATGTTTGAAAATGGGCTGGCTGTGCCCATACAAGACAGGATATCGGGCAGCACTTTGAAAGCTTACGATTTCAAATAAACCTGTTGGACTACAACCTGGTGTCATGTGACTTCTGGATTGATCTGGGTAGAAGAACCAAACCAATTTTCATTGATGTGAAACAAAAACAGAAATTGCAGAAGAAAATTCAGCAGGTCTGGCAGCTGAAGAAGGGCACTGAATCCAAAATATTAATTCTGTTTTCTGTCCACAGATGCTGTTAGACCTGCCACGTTTTTTTTCCAGCAATTTCTGTCTTTGTTTCTGATTTCCAGGATCCACAGTTCTTTGGTTTTCTCATTGGTATGAGTTTGTATGTGAGTATGTGGTGGTCCATCTATTGATGCTGTTGGCTACAAACAGAGGAAGGGTCACTTGATCCAAAATGCTATTGCTGATTTCTCACCATACGTGCTGCCAGACCTGCTGAGCTTTTGCAGCAATTTCTGTTTTTGTATTTTTAGAGGGCTGGACAGAGTAGACGGGGACAAATTGTTCCTTTTGGTAGAGGAATTGAGAACCTTAGGACACCAATTTAAAATGATTGACAAAATAAACAATATTGATGTGAAGTTTTTTTTTAAACAGCATATGGTTAGGATCAGAAGTGCACTGCCTGAGAGTGATGAAGGCAGATTCAATCACAACCTCTAAAATTAATGATAAATTAATTATCATTATCTGATCATTATTTGGAGGGAAAATATTTGCAGGAGTATGGGGTAATGGTAGGTAAGTACATATAGGTACATGTCTGCCAAAAACGGCCAGCTGTAACTAGCATTATTCAGACCTCCTTGTTGCATCACAGACTTTTATGATGAATATTAAAATACAATATCTAATGAAAAAAAAGTATGCATTTTGGAAACTTTTATCACTATATTAGGCATTTGAACATTTTCTGTAACTGAAGTTATTTAATGTATTTTTCTAGTATGCCAAACTCTCTCTAAGTTTGAGAGTTCCTGGAGGAGGAACAAAAAAGAAGTCACCTGAGTCACAGCAAGAAGCTGGAGAACCCGTACAAAGTGCAACTGTTAACGAAGAGGACGATGAGTACTCCTCTGGATTGTGCTAGCTCTGGACAGATCACTTGTATTTTTTTCAGGTCAATTGAATTGTTTAGAAGTGAAGGTAAAAGCTCAAAACAATCCAGACTCTTGACTTTAGCTGCCAACCTATAACTGACGAGATTCTGGTTTGCATAGGAATGGTCCAAGAATCAGATTGATTAAAAAATTATATTGTGAAGCATTAGTCACATGACAGCATTTAGATTTGGCTAATTCTGCATTATGTATAGATGTTAGATAATCTTAGGTGTGCTTTTTTGCTTTGGAAATGTAATCTTAAATGTGCAATTGAATTTGGTTTTAAATCGGTATAAAGAAATCTTGCTGTAAAGACTTCTGCACAAATGTCATATGATCCTGAATCAATACAGTTTATTTATTATACCAGCACAACAACAGATTTGTTTATGGCGGGTTAAGAAGTTGAGCAATGAAATAGAAATTTGGAAATAGTATAAAATGGGAGAAGTTTAAAAATATATCCAGAATTAATTTACTGAATAACATTGAAATACTGTTGCACACAGTTAACAAAAGCATGCTGTATGATTAAGGCTGGATATTGCTACCGTCACAGTGTTCCTTTTCCATTTATTCCATGATGTGAGCATATATGCTTAAAAGTTGTAATATTTGTACATGTTCAATAGGATTCAGTATTTATGATTTATCGTGTGTATATACGTAATTCAAGTGGTTAAAAATATGCACGTATAGGCAATGGTCAGTTAATATATTCTGTGAGACTTGACTACAAACTTGCAAAAAGCTTTTTCTAAGTGCATTTTCAACCTAAGTCATTTTAATTTAAACCAACACAATGGAAGCAACTGAAGATATTGATGCAAATCACTTGATAACTTAAATATCTTAAAAGGAACAAAATAGTAATTTCCTGTTCTTGTTGCCACTGAGAAAATAAATTCAGCAGGCCAACAAATACTTGTTGATGTTCTTTCTGTTTGGCAATGGTATCACAGTGTAAACATGATAAAGCTGCTTTGTTATGTATACAGGTTTTGAACTTTATCCACAGTAAAGTATTCTACTTAACCTGAATTGTTTTTGAGTGATGTGTTTTGATGAACGTCACAAATCCAGGTTATAGTCTTAACAGGTTTATTTGAAAACTCTAAGTCTTCGGAGTCTCGCTCATTCTTCAGGTGTTAGTGAGAGAGGTGGCATCAGACACAGAATTTATAAGTAAAAGATCAAAGGGTCATAGAACTAATGCAAATGTATTGAACAAACCTAAGATGGATGTTAAACCTTTAATCAGTTAGAAAGGAGATGCAGGTTACGATTGATTAACATGCAAGTCCCAGAATTTCTTTCAAGTCACTGCCACGAGACCAGAGGTGATATCCCAGGTCAGACAATGCATTTTAGGTGTGAGGCCTTGTTCAGAATCTGTCTGTGTTATAACTTGGAGTCAGACTGGTTTTATTTTCAATGTAGGAATTTATAAAATGCCACATTGACTGTCTACAAATTGTGTGCTTTTTGAACAAAATAGAATGTATTGCAAATGAAAAATCTGCAAATGCAAATGCACCCTATAGATTTGTGTGTGTGTGTGTGTGTGTGTGGTGGGGGGGAAGCGAGAGTGTTTGTGCGTGCGTGCTTGAGAGCGAGAGTGTGAGCATGTGTTTTTGTGAGTGTGTGTGTTTGAGAGAGGGTCTGTGAGTGTGTGAGCATGTGTGTATACGTGTATGTGTGGTGAGAGAGTGTATAGTGTGGTGGGGTCATCCATAGTGCAACATGAACTCAAGATCTCGGTTGAGGCCAAGATGGGAACCGAACTTAGCAATCAGCCTCTGCTTGGCAACTCTGCATGATCTGTGTATCCCAAAGTCCACTTTAGAGGGCATTTATCCGAAGATCCGAGGACGAATGTCCTTGACCACTGAAGTGCTCCCCCACTGGAAGGAAGCATCCCTGTCTGGTGATTGTTGCGTGGTGTCCATTCATCTGTTGTTGTAGCGTCTGCATGGTTTCGCCAATATACCATGCCCTGGTGCGTCCTTGCTTGCAGCATAAAGACAACGTTGGCTGAGTCACATGAGAATCAGCTGGTGCACGTGGTGGGTATTCCCACATGTGCGATGGTAGGATCCATGACAATGATCTGACATGTCTTGCAGAGGTTGCCATGACCATGTTGTCCTGAAGACTGGGTAGTTTGCTGCGAATAATGATCTGTTTAAGAATCAAAAGAGCTGTGGAAGGGTCACTGAACCTGAAATGTTAACTCTGTTTTCTCCTTCACAGATGCTGCCAGACCTGCTGAGCTTTTCCAGCAACTTTGTTTTTGTCCATGGTCTGTTTAAAGGTTGGTGGTTGTTTGAAGGTGTGAAGTGAAGGTGTAGGGAAGATCTTAGTGAGGTGCTCAACATCATCGATAATGTGTTGATGGCTGCAAAGAACATGGCATAGTTTTTCCGCTCCCGAGAAGTACTGGACGATGAAGGGTACCCTATCAATCATATCCCATGTCTGTCTTCTGAGAAGGTCATTACGGTTTTTCGCCATGGCATGCCAGAACTGGCGATCGATAAGTTGAGCATCATATCCCATTTTATAAGGACATCTTTCAACACCTTCAGGTGTCTGTTGCGTTGCTCTTCTTCTGAACAGATCCTATGTTTACATAGAACTTGTTCGTAGGGGATGGCTTTTTTAATATGATCAGGGCGGAAGCTGGAGAAGTGCAGTATCGTGAGGTTATCCGTAGGCTTGCGAACTGTGAAGTATTGAGGTGTTCGTCCTTGGAGATGCATGTGTTCAAGAGTGAGACTGATTCTAAAGAGTAGTCCATGGTAAGTCTGATGGTGGGATGAAACGTAGTGATATCACTATGTAGTTGTTTCAGTGATTTCTCATCATGAATCCAAAGGAAGAAATGTCATCAATGTATCTGGTGTATATCATTGGTCAGAGGTCCCTTTCTCCCTCTCTCTCTCTCTCTCTCTCTCACACACACACTCTCACACATACACAAATATATATACATAATAAATATATAACAATATATATATATAACAATAAATCCTGTGTCTGACACCACCTCTCTCATTAACACCTGAAGAAGGAGCGAGACTCCAAAAGCTTGTGTTTTCAAATAAACTTGTTAGACTATAACCTGGTGTTGTGTGAGTTTTGACCTTGTCCGTCCCAGTCCAACACCAGCACCTCCACATCATGTTTTAATGAATATCTTGCAGTTTGTGCCATCATTTAGCTTATTCACACATGCCACAAAAGGTTTATTCTCACCTTTATCACAATTTAAAGAGACCCCTCAGAACAGTGTTGTTCATTAAGCAAAGTTTAAAACATAATGGAGCATCTTTAATGAAGAAACACCATGTTGTGATGCTTTTTTATCTTGGCTGCCCCTCATATATCCAGCTACATCTGAATTCAGCCAGCTTTGCATGACTGATTTTCAAATAAAAATACTGTTTAATATCATGCTGAGATTTTTTTTGTATATTGCACAGCCATTAAGAATTGATTATATTTGTAAGCTTTCATTATCTTTGATTAGAATGCACAAAAGGAAATAAATTACTAAAAGATCCTTGGTTACGTGCAGTCAAAAGACATTTGGCCATTCAAACCTTTTTCACGCAGGAGAGGATGGTTGTTTTATCTTCAGGCACAATTGTTGTTAAAACCAAAAACCCACAGGAAACTGGTTGACAGAAACCAGTTTACATTTTGGTCAGTTCTGAGGAAGGGTCACTGGACCCGAAACGTTAACTCTGTTTTCTCCTCCACAGATGCTGCCAGACCTGCTGAGCTTTTCCAGCAGCTTTGTTTTTGTACATTTTGGTCAGGATTATTTGAATAAATGATATGCTGTGAAAGAAGCTACAACAGAATGGATGCCCCTGTCCATTATGTATGCTACAATGCACGTTTCTGGTCTCTTCAAGGATGAGACTGGGAAACTAGTAATGGGATTCAAGAAAATGTCAGACACTTTGAAAATGTATTCTTTATCTGTCTTCATAGTAATGAACACAAAAGGCAACCCAAGAATAGGAGAAAATTAAGAAGTAAAAAGGAGGGAGGAATTTAAAACAATGTTGATCACCAGTGAAAAAGTGCAAGGAAAACTAATGGGACTAAAGGTTGACAAGTCCTCTTTAAATCACTAAAGCCCTTAAAGAATCCACACATTTAGCAAAAACTATTAGTGGCAGACATTAATAACAGTAGCAGATTTCTTCTCCAAAGCACATTAGTGAATCAGGTGGGTTTTATGACAGTTGGTTCATGGTTGTCATTAGTAAAACAGCTTTCAATTGGAAATGTTTACTAATTAAACTTAGTATGGTAAACCTGTATTTGACCATCTTTTGAGGGGAGGCGATGGCCTAGTGGTATCATCGCTGGAATGTTAATCCAGAGACCAGATAACGTTACGGGGATCCGGGTTCGAATCCTTCCCAGTAGATGGTGGAATTTGAATTCAATAAAATATCTGGAATTAAGAATCTAATGATGACTGTGAATCCATTGTCGATGGTTGAAAAAACCCATCTGGTCCACTAATATCTTTTAGGGAAGAAAACTGCTTTCCTTACCTGGTCTGGCCTACGTGTGACTCCAGATCCATAGCAATGTGGTTGACTATCAACTGCCCTCTGGGCATTTAGGGATGGACAATAAATGCCGCCTGTCCAGTGATGCCCTCATCCCATTAATGAATAAAGGGAAAAAAAGTGCAATGTCCCGCTGTCTGAGAGTTGTCTATAGATGGCCCTCCAATAGGATCTCCACTTCTATAAGGGGTTCTTTCTTTATTGATCAGGTCTGGGAATGGAGAGAGTTGCACACAGTAATCTCATTCAATAATAGATTGTTAATTCACTGGGGACTGGGTTACATTAGTTTTTGGAGCCAGGAAATGGTATTTCACGTTTACTGTGTATTTTAGTTTCCAGGCCCTATTTAGTTTTTAAAAGGTGCTATTTTTAAATTTTTGATTGCTCTTCAGCCCTGTACTCCTAATCTACGGGGCAGCTTGTGTTAATGGGGTGGCGGGCAGTTCAGAGAGCTTCCTGGTGGGCCTACTCCTGGGCCTGGTCAAAGTGGCTATTAAGAGATCTTGGCAATGGGCCACAAGGGGACTTTAATACCCCACTGTCTGCCCCCTTTCTGTGTATGTCCATGTTTGGGTATCTAGAAGAGGGAATGCGTGGCACAATACAGACCATCAGAGTTCTGTTGGCACTGCAGGATCTGGGGTACATCTTCACCATGAATAACAATATTTTGATTTAATAGTTTCAATTCTAGTCTTGTAGGTTTTTGTTACTGTGCGCCTCTAGGTGCTGATTAATTTAATGCTCTTTCTAAAAGAGTAGGATGTTAAACCTGTATAAAGCAAGTTTTTGCCTCAACGGACGTTTAGCACCCAGTTTTGGGTACCAAACCTTAGAAAGGATATGAAGGCACCAGGAGGGATGCAGAATAGATTGATAAAAATTAATCTAGATATGAGGAACTTTAGTTACATTAAGAGATTCATCAAGTTGAAGCTGTTCTCCTTGTTGAAATATGAGAGATTTGGTAGAATTGTTGGAAATCATAAGTTAGTTTGGATGGATCAAGACAAGCTTGACAGATTTATTAAAATTGGTGAAAGAATGGTGACATAAAGGAAAACTCTTTAATGTAGTTCGCCAGGTTTGATGCACACTGACGAGAATATGCTGGAGCCTGACTCAATTGTGATCTCAAAAGTAGCAGTGATGTGGAGGTGCTGGTGTTGGACTGGGGTGGCGCAACAATCGCCAGACAGGGATGTTTCCTCCCAGTGGAGGATAACTTCAGCGATCAAGGACATTCAGCCTTGGATCTTCGGGTAAACGTCCTCCAAAGCGGACTTTGGGACACACAACAACGCAGAGTCACCAAGAAGAGGCTAATAGCCAAGTTTGGTGCCCATGAGGATGGCCTCAACCAGGATCTCGGGTTCATGTCACACTACAGGTGACCCCACCACACTATTCACTCACACACACGCAGACATACTCAGTCACACTGATCCTCTCACATATACACAGTCTCTCAAGTGTGCACACACACACACACACACCTTCCCTCACACACACGTGAATTTATAGGGTGAATTTGTATTTGCAGATACATTCTATTTTGTTCAAAAAGCACACAATTTATAGACAGTCAATGTGGCGTTTTATAAATCCCTACTTTAGAAATAAAACCAGTCTGACTCCAAACTAAAACACAAACAGATTCTAGACAAGGCCTCACACCTAACATACATTGTCTGACCTAAAATGTCACCTCTTCTTTACACTGATAAAACCTTAAGTTCTCGCAGGACAGTGACTTGAAAGGAATTCAGGGATTTACGTATACATATTAATCAATTAAAAGCTTCTAACTGATTAAAGATTTAACTGCATCTTAGGTTTGTTTAGTACATCCTCAACAATGGTGCGATCCTTTGAACTTTTACTTATAAATTCTGTGTCTGAAACTACCTCTCTCAGTAACACCTGACGAAAGAGTAAGGCTCTGAAAGCTTGTGGTTTCAAAGTAAACCTGTTGGGCTATAACCTCGCATAACGTGATTTCTGATCTCAAATGTGAAATGGATTAATAACCATAAAGGAAATAAAGTATAGGGTCATGGGGAAAAGACGCAATGACGTTATTGAACTGTACCTTCAGAGGGCCATCACAAATATGGAAGGCCGACTGGTCTACTTTTGAGCTGTAACTGAAATGCAGAACTGAGCAAAAAATAGGATAGTTCCTACTATCTCTTAAAACGTTTAACTTTTCCAGAACAGAAAATTTTACATTGTACTGTATTCCTAGTTTCAAATGATTTGTTTACCACTAACCCATCCCAGATTGTTTTTTTTAAACATTGCATGCAAACTTTTCAATAAAAAGTAGGGCAACTGCAAGTGATAGAAACACTTTTCAATCTTACAATCTGTGTCTAGCCCTTTGCGTGATTTTACAGGGGTGGGGCTTGGTGCGCATGCGTTCAGCGTGGTCCGGCAGGGACCGGCTGTGCGCAGGCGCTCTCGAGCTGACGCGGGGCGACGGGATGAGAGGTGGCGGAGGGTCGGTGAGCGAGCAGCTGGTTTTCACAGCGAGTGCCGGGGATGCAGATCCTCACACTAGGCCCGTGTTGTTCGTGGGGCTGCTGTCAAACCTGCAAAAACTCACCTGGGCCCAATTAAAGGGCAAGTTGGAGCCCCGCGTGAGTCCGGAGGTGAGTAACTCCAAAATGGTGGCTTTGGCTCAGGGAGCAGAAGGAGGCCGATCAGCCCGTCTAACCCGCCTACTAGCCCAGCCTGCCTGTCATCCAACAGTTATTGGTACTCAGCGAGATGGATGTGACTTCGTTCTAAGCTTCTAATCTTTAAGTTCCAGTCTAGTAAACTGCCTTTCCAAATGTATCAGTTGATACTCGTACACATGCATTGTTCAGCATTCCTGGATAGCTGCTCTTAAGTATCATTAGGACGTGCCATTCAACTTATTGACTGAGTCTATTCTGGCTGGCTGTAGAGTAATCTAGCCAATTCCCCCTATCCTGCTGTATCCCTGTAAATTTAAAGATAATGCAATCTTCTTTTGAAATTGTTCATATACTTCCATCCTGAAGAAGGAGCCAAGGCTGACTTTTTCCATCTCTGCCACCACCAGTGACACTGCCAATTTGTAATATGCCAACTGGAATTATGCCTGAGGAATGATGCGGAGGTACAGGTGTTGGACTGGGGTGGACAAGGTCAGAAGTCACACAACACTAGGTTATAATCCAACAGGTTTATTTGAAATCACAAGCTTGCACGCCGCTGCTGCTTCGTCAGGTGAAGTGGAGGGAAGCACACGGGCAACAGAACGGCTGAGAAACCTTGTAGTTTTATTTTACTGTGCATCACATCAAGAAGTGTGTTTACCCACTAAGACAAAGGAAATACTTAGCATTTCTTTAGAGTGTATGTTTGATGTAGTTTTTAAATGATTATAAATGACATTTTTCTGATCCAAGTTGCTTTGGTCATTTCAGATAAAATTTGGCTTCATGTGCTTTCCCAATGATTAACATGTCCATTCTGGAATCTGCTGCAACCCCTATTGCTGAACACCCCTGTACAGTTTTTTTTAGTGTTAAATGTGGCCAGAGTGTATATCAAGATTGTGCAGTAGTAATTCTTTCCTCTGAAGTTCCAAATCTGCACTATAACAACACCTTGTTTGTCATTTAGGTTTGGCAGACTGCACTGAGCACTTTGAATCCCAATCCAATAGATACCTGTTCTCTTTGGCTCAATTATGCTGTTGTGGCAGCCCTCCCATCCAAAGTCAGCCGTCACAATAGTCCATCATCGGCTCACTTTCTCACACGACTGATTCGCAATTGCTCATCTGGAAGAACTAACCAGTGCATTGTGGTAAGTGATTAGCTAGACTTTACAGTAGCACCGGATTGCATATATGTTCCGTGTTATTCCTAGTTTTTCTTTCCAACCATTCTTGTTTCCAGAGCAATAATTTTGTTTAATTATCATAAATGATGCTCCGTATGATTAATCATCAATAGCCTTCCTATCACTGATGCCTTTCCTAATAATATGATAATTTTCAAAAGCAGTAGGAATCATTAAGGACTTTGTCAGGTTTAGTAACTGCTTGTGAATCAATATGCTTGAGCAACTTTATCTGAAGATATGTTCTGTGTCAAAGTCCTCATCTAATGTACTGTACCATTGCGTTGGGTTTCTGCTCGGTGTTCCTTGGCTTACAGTACTAATTTTTCTTGTACCTTCATAGGGCATCGCTGACTAGGCCAGCATATGTTGCCAATCTGTAATTTATCTTGAAAAGTTATGGTGGACTTCTTTCCATTGTAGTCAATGGATGATGATACACCTCAATACTGTTAAGGAAGAAGTTCCATTACTTTGACACATTGACAGTGAAAGGAAGGTGACACAGATGGTGTCACACATGTGACTTGGAGGGGTATTTGCAAACAGTAGTCTTTTAATGTCTAACCGTCTTGTCCTTCTAAGTGGTATAGTATGTGATTTTTGAATATATGGTCAAAGAGATTTGGATGACTTTCTGCATTGCATCTTGTGGTGGCGCTCACTGCTGCTACTGAGCACTAGTAATGGAGGCAGTGAATCGTGAAGGTGATGGATACTAGGCCAATCAAAAGAACTGCTTTATACTGGATCCTCTTGAGGTCCTTGTGTGCTGTTGAAGCAGCACTAATCCAGGCAAGCAGAGAGTATTCCATCACCCTCCAGATGTGTGCCTTGTAAACGGTGAAAAGGTTTTGCATAGATGAGTTACTTGTCACTGAATTCCCATGCTTCTGATCTGCTTCTGCACCTATTATAGTTATGTGACTGATACGGTTTTTTTAGTCCATGGTAACACCTGCGATGTTGATGGTGGGGGATTCAGTGATAGTAAAGCTGTTGAATGTAAAAGTGAGTAGAGTAAATTCTCTCTGTTGGAGTGGTCATTGCCCAGTACATGACGGTGTAAATGTTCCTTGTCACTTGCCAGCTGAAGCCTGACTGTTGCTTTACTTTATGCAAATATTCATTAACAGTATGAGGGCATCGCTGGCCAGTCAGCATTTATTGCCCATCCCTAATTGCCCAGAGGACACTTGAGAGTCAATCCCAGTGCTGTGGATCTGGAGTCCCATGTAGGTCAGACCAGGTAAGGATGGCAGTTTCCGTCCCTAAAGGACATCAGTGAACCAGATGAGTTTTTCCGACAATCGACAATGATTTCATGGTCATCATTAGATTCTTAATTTAAAATTTTATTTTTTATTGAATTCAGATTCCACCATCTGCTGTGGTGGGATTCGAACCCGGGTCCCCGGAACGTTATCTGGGTCTCTGGATTAACATTCCAGTGATAATACCACTAGACCATCGCCTCCCCCCAGAATCATAGAATCTCTGCAGTGTGGAAACAGGCCATTCGGCCCAACAGGTCCACACCACCCATCCAAAGAGCAGTCCACAAGTCACACCATCCCTCCCAAGAGCCCCACCCAGACCCATACCCCTACCCTTTCCCTGTAACCCTGCATTTCCCATGTCTAATTCACCTAACATACACACCCTTGGACACTATGGGCAATTTAGCATGGCCAGTCCACCCAACCTGCACATCCTTTGAACTGTGGGAGGAAACCAGAGCACCCGGTGGAAACCCACTCATACATGGGGAGAATGTGCAGACTCCACACAGAGTGTCGCCTGAGGGCGGAATCGAATCCGGGTCCCTGGCCCTGTGAGGCACCAGTGCTAACCACTGAGCCACTGTGCAGATTGCATCAGTATCTTTGTACTGATGTGAAAGCTAGATACACTGAGAAGAAATTTCATCAAATTGTTTGCCAGTGAATCCATGCTTTCTTAATTAGGCAGCAGTGTAGAGGTGGCATTCCAACTCCTGTCTTCTGCCTCTACATCATTTTGAATGGGTGTTTGGAAAATGCCAAACTACTGATAGCATCTCTGATTTAAAAAAACTGCTAAGCAAGCTTATTATGCACTTTTTTTTTCAAATAGTATGCCTCTAAAGGTTCGAAAATCAACATTTCATTGCTTTCATTAGAATAAGAACTGGAATAGGCAATTTGGCTCCTTGAGCCTATTCCACAGTTTACTCAGATCATGCTTGATCTTCTGTCTGAACTCTACCTTTATGCACTATCCCCCTGTCCCTCAGTACCCAAAAAGTTATTGACCCCTGTCTTTACTGAGAATGCTCCATATATTTAATGTGTAACGCAGTCCACATAACAAAAACATTTCTGAAGTAGATCAAATTAATTTAGATATTGTTATTAGGGAATTAATGTACCACTATGATACGATAACATTTCTTGATTAGGATATTGTTGATGCTGAGGTTGCAGTGTGGTCTATTCTGATTAAGCTCTGGGACACCTGAGAGAAAAGTCATACGATTGATCTATGAAATCAAACAACCTGGTTTTGGCAAACGATGAGAAAGATTTGTGTTGTCAGCGTTTACATATATGATGGAATAAAGATAAATCTGCAACACTAGTTTAAATTAAATGATCAGAGTGGACTAAGGTAAGTGCACAAGTTCAAATCAACAAATGAGAAATTTTGAAATTTTTCACACACAGAATAATCATAAATATCAAGACTGTATTAAGGTTACTGGGGTCAAAGCCCAGTTTTTTAAAATTTAAATATTTGGGAGGGAATCTGTTTTGAGTTTGTTTTTTAATGTTCACAAGCTAGGAATGACTGAACTTGCTTTGTTTTTTAAAGTTTAACCATTAAGTGTTTTTGCAGTGTTTGCATGACTAAAACAAGACTGTGATATTGTCTCCATTTCTCAAAACCCCTATTTAAAATTAGTATTGCCAAAATTTTATTTTCATTTTGCAAATATGTATTTTTATTAACCTGCAGTGGATCTAGAATAACAAGTATTTACGTAATCATAATTAGAAAATGTAATCAAGAAACCCGACCCAAATGAGGCTGGAAAATTGCTCTGGCACAATTTAAGTGACTAATTATCCCTCTAAAGGAAAATACTATGGTTGTCGGAAATCTGAAATAAAAACAGTGCTGGAAAAGAAAACATGGCCTGGCGGCATTAGTGGAGAAACGAAAGAGGGATAAGTAGTCACTTAAAACAGTAAATAGCACTTTACAAAAATGATCCAAGCAGACCAGCAATGTCGGAAAGCATCTCATCACCTAACTCAACATAAAGCCTAATGAACTGTTTTGATTTAATTGAGAAGTTTCCTTGGTCCTTTTCTAGGAGAGCGGCAATATCTTCATTTCTAGAAATAACTGGATTTTGGATTTGCTTAATAAATTTTAATATGCATTTAAAGTATTTTAATTTTTATTGTGTTTAAAATTTTATTCCAGCTCGTTTGTGAATATACGGAGGTTTTCGCATCAGCTTGTGCAGTAACAAGGGCATTTCCCCTGTTCACTCGGCGCACTGGCTTGCTGGAACCAGGAGAGAAACTCACTGTTACGGTAGAATTTATTCTGGTCGGAGAGAATACTAAGCCACTTACCGAATCTGTGCTTACGGTAGGTTTTAGCGCAATGATGAGAAGATTAGAGATGATATACTTGCTGAATTATATTTTTTTTATTGTCTCCTTATGTTCTATGTAGTTGGCTTACGTTGTATGAATTTGGCTGGTAGGAGTTGGTAATGGTCTTGGCTGACTGGGCATTCTAGCAGTAATACAATAGGCAGCTTTCCATCATAGCATTTTTGCAATTACAGCACATCAGGAGCCATTTGGCTTGTCACACATCTATGAATCCTTTTTCTGTGGGAAAAAAAACTTCTAATTTATGTCATTGCCCTTCTGGTGAGAACTTAAGAGAGTTTACACGCCATTAGAGTAATAATTGCAGCTGCTGGAAAACAATCTTTTATAAGGACATAAGAACCAGGAGCAGGAGTAGGCTATCTGGCCCTTCTAGCCCGCTTCACCATTCAATAAGATTATGGCTGATACTTTTGTGGCCTCAGCTCTGCTAACCCACCCTCTCATCATAACTCTTCATTCCTTTATTGTTCAAAACATTATCTATCTTAGCTTAAAAACGTTCAATGAGGAAGCCTCAACTACTTCACTGGGCAGGGAATTCCATAGATTGACAACCCTTTGGGTGAAGAAGTTCCTCCTTAATTCAGTCCTACGTCTGTTCTGTCCAATTTTAAGGCTATGCCCACTTGTTCTAGTTTCACCCAGCATGAAAACATCCTCCCTGTTTCTATCTTATCTATTGCCTTCATAATTTTATATGTTTCTATAAGATCCCCCTACATCCTTCTAAATTCCAATCAATATAATCCTAATTGACTCAGTCAGTTCTCATAAGTCAACCTTCTGAACTCTGGAATCAAGATAGTGAATCTCCTATGCACCCCCTCCAGTGCCAGTACGTTGTTTCTCAAGTAAGGAGACCAAAACTGCATGTAGTGCTCCAGGTGTGGCCTCACTAGCACCCTATACAGCTGTACATAACCTCCCTGCTTTTAAACTCAATCCTTCTAGCAATGAAGGACAAAATTCCATTTGCCTTCTTAATTACCTGTCACATCTGCAAACCAACCTTCTGCGATTCATGCACAAGGACACCCATGTCCCTCTGCACAGCAACATGCTGCTATTTTTTGCTGTTCAAATAATAGTCCTTCTAACTGTTATTCCTACCAAAATTGCACTCCATCTGCCGGACCTTTGCCCACCCACTTCAGCTATCTATATCTCTCTGCAAACTTTACTCTGAAAATACTGACAAGTTTTGAATATTATTTAAATATTCACCATTTTCTTCACTGAAACAGAAGAATGATTTTTTTTCTAAAATTTATTTTTCGGCTCTTCTTCAATAAGGTAGTCTGTGACCAGTGGTGTCCCACAGAGATCAGTGCTTACAATCTGTTTATAATGTATATAATTGATTTGGAGGAGAATGTAGGTGGTCTGATCAGTAAGTTTACAGATGACTCAAACATTGGGGGAGCTTTAGATTGCAAGAAGGAAATAGCAAGAGGATATAACAGGATAGTGATAGGCTGGAGACTTGGGTGGAGAAATGACAGGTGGAATTTAATCCAGATGAATATAAGGTGAAACATTTTGGAAGGTCTAATGCAAGAAAGTATATAGTAAATGGCACAACTTTTAGACACCATTAACATAAGAGAGATCTAAGTGTACAGGCCCACACTTCTCTGAAAGTGGTAATGTAAGTGGATAAGGTAGCCAAGAAGGTGGCTCAGTGGTTAGCACTGCTGCCTCCCAGCGCCAGAGATCCAGATTTGATTCCACCTTCAGGGAACTCTCTGTGTGGAGTTTGCACATTCTCCCTGTGTCTGTGTAGGTCTCTGCCAGGTGCTCCGGTTTTCTCCCACAATCCAAAGATGTGCAAGTTAGGTGGATTGGCCATGCGAAATTGCCTCATAGTGTGCAGATTAGGTATGTTAGCCATGGGAAATGTAAGGTTACAGAGAAAGAGTAGGTGCGTGAATGGGATGCTCTTTGGACGGTCAGTGTGGGCTAGTTGGGCCAAATAGCCTTTTTCCACATTGTAGGGATCCTATGGAAAGTTATGTGGTATGCTTGCCTTCATTGGTCAGGGTATAGGGTATAAAATTTGGTAAATTATGTTGCAGCTGTGTAGAACTTCAGTTAGGCAACATTTGGAATATTGGGTACAGTTCTGGTCGCCACACGACCATAGAATGTAGAGGCTTTGGAGAGGGTACAGAAAAGGTTTACCAGCATGTTTCCTAGGTTGGAGGGTATTAGCTATGAGAAGAGGTTGGACAAACTTAGTTTGTTTCTACTGGAACGTCAGAGGCTGAGGAGTGACCTCATAGAAGTTTACAAAATTGTAGAAGGTATGGATAGAATGGGTAGAAGTGTTAATTAGTAGGGGACGTAGGTGTAAGGTAAAAGGAGAAAAGTTTTTAAAGGAGATGTGAGAGGCAAATTTTTTACGCAGAAGTTGGTAAGTGTCTGGAATGCACTGTTAGAGGAGGTGATAGAAATAGATACAGTAGCAACATTTGAGAAGAGTCTTGACAGATTCATGAAAACAAAGGGGAGAGGACTGTGTAGAGGCAAAAAGTTTTTAATTTAGAAAGGCATCACGTGTTGACATAGGCTTGGTGGGACAGAGGGCCAGTTCCCTGTGCTGTTCTGTTCTTTGTAGTCTCTCATTCTAATAGATCTTTGCAACACCCTTTCAGAGGTTCTAATATTTTTCATGTAATGAAGCATGCACCGTTTTTTTTCTTCATACATTGGATGTGAGCATCACTAGCTAGACCAGCATTCTTTGTCCATGTTAATTGCCCTAGAGATGGTGTTGGTGAGATGCTGACTTAAACTAGGAACATAGGATCAGGATGAGGCCATTCAGCCCTTGAGCCTGTTCCAGCATTCAATGAAATCATGGCTGATCTGTCGCCTAACTCCATATATCTGCTTTTGGTCCATAACCCGTAATTCCTTTGCGTAAAGAGTATCTCGGGTTAAATTTAGTACTGATCCTGTATCCACTGCCTTTTGTGGAAGACAGTTCCAAACACACCTTTTGTGTGTAGAAGTGTTTCCTAACATGTCTCCTGATCAGACTGGTCCAAATTCTCAGTCTATGACCCTTAGTTCTGGAATCCCAAACAGTGGAAATAGTTTATCTTTATCCACCCTGTCTTTTCCTTTTAATATCTTGATGACTTCACTGAGACTGCTGCAGTCTTTGAGGTTTAGGGACCCTTTCTCAGACTCATAAGGGGTGGTTCCAAGATTTTTGACCTGATGAAAGTGAAGGACAATGAACCATAAATTAACATTTATACCCTGGGAAAAAGGCTCCATCTATCCATTCTGTCTATGCCTCCAATAATTTTGTAAACTTCTATCAGGTTGCTCCTCAGTCTCTGAGTGGTTTTGAGGAGAACTGGCAGGCTATGGTCTTCACTTCCATCTTCTCCCCTTGTCCTTCATGGTAGTAGAGGTTACAGTTTTGGAAGATTCTGTAGAAGAAGCCTTGGTGAGTTATTGCAATACATCTTATAGGTGGTACATACTTGCCACTGTGGACGGTGGTGAAGGAAGTGAATGTCAAAGGTGGTAGATCAAGTGGGTTGCTTTGTCCTGAATGGTGTCAAGCTCCTTTACTGTTATTAGAGCTGCGTCCATTCAGGCAAGTGGTGAGTAATCTGTTGCACTTGTGACTTGAGATGGTTGAGAGGTAGTGGGAGACAGAAAGTGAGTTAGTTGCTGCAGAATTCCTAGTCTCTGACTGCTCTATTAGCCTCAGTATCTGTATGGCTGATGCAGTTCAGTTTCTGGTCAGCGGAAGACTGTTGATAATGGGGGATTCGATGGTAATGCCAGTGGAGAGTTGACCCAAATTCCCATTTGTGCTGTAAGGTGTGTGCTTTATTTGTATTTTAATATCAGTTATGTTATGTTTGGATTTTGAACTAGTAACATGTGGGTTTGGTCTGTGTTTATGAGGGGATTTAACTGTAGCCACAGTGATTTCTTTTAAAACATAGTATGAGAGAGACACTTCATGCAGAGTAATGAGGTTTTGTTTTCCTCGGGTGAGTTTTATGCATGTACAGAGTAAAGCCTTGTGCATTAGGTTTCAGATAGAAGATTCTTGATTTCTTTTGGCTTAGGAGAAACACCTATAGCTTAAAGAAAGCCTGTTTGTGTTGGCAGTTTGTAGTCCTTGAAGTCGGATGTGTAAGACAGTTCCTGCTGAAAAAGGGAGATTTTGAACTGTTAAGGAATAGGTTCCTTTAGTTTAAGTAATTAGTTTGAAAGTTCAAATTGGAAGTGGCTGATTAATATCCTGAAGAGGTTATTTGCAGTCGTGAAAGTCTGTCATTGATATGAAGGTTCAAGGAAGAGGCTTTTAGATCTCAAGACGAGGAATGAAAACCACAGTTAAATTAAACCCTATAGATTTGATAAAGGAGGGAATTCTGTCAGATGTGAGTACTGTAAGGGAGTGCTTTTAGGATCAATGGGTTTGTAGCTTCCTGTTTGTTTTGAAATTTTTAAACTTGTGTTATACATAAAGAATTTGGTTTACTTTTTATCGATGATTTTGTTCATGTAATAACTTCTGTTTTATTGTTACAAACAATGCTGTAGCATTGCATATTTGTGAAAGACAGTTTTGTAGATACACAAATACAACAAAATATGATTCACTAGCCATCTTTCAGTTGGGAAACTGACTTTGAGTCATTACATCAGTTGGGATTGTAACGCTTTGACTGCAAGTTTGCTGAGCACTGTTGACAGTCCCTTTCATCACTTTGAGGTATTAGGGTAAACTGATGGGGTGGTAATTGTCAGTGTTGGATTTGTCCTGCTTGTCCAGAACATACCTGGACAAATTTCTCTGTTGTCAGGTAGACGTCAGTCTTGTAGCTAACATGGAACAGCTGGGCTGGCGGTGCAGCTAATTTTGGAGCCTGATCTTTAGTACTGTTGCTGGAATTTTGCCTTTGCACTATTCAACATCTTCAGCTGTTTCTCCATATCACATGGAGTGAGTTGAATTAGTAGAAGACTTGTACTTGTGGTGCTGGGAACCTCAGGCTGAAGGACCATGCAATGCAACTGCCTGATGAGCATCTGGTACAAATTCAACACTATTTTGTTTATTTTTATACATTATGGTACACCTATGTATGAAACCTTTTTAAAATTATTTTTCTGCCTGCAATGTAATGCTTATGCAGCAGTGCCCCAATATCACTTCTACAGTTATCTTACCATTTAGGGTATCATTTATTTTCTTGCTGTTCACCTCACTGGAGCATTTACTTTCACAAAGCTGTGTTACTGGCACTCATTTAGTACAGATTTTTAAAAATCAGTATGACTTAAATATTACTAATTTATTGGCATTTTTTGAAGAAGTAACATGTGTTGTTGATATGTGGATGTAAAACACTTTAGATTGCCAGAAGGTATTTGACAAGGTGCTACATCAAAGGTTATTGGGCAAATTAGGAACACATGGTGTTGGGGGAGGGTAACATGCTAGCATTGTTAAAATGGGTAACGATCTGATTGAAGGACGTAAAAAGTGGGGTCCTGCAGGATCTGATGTTGGAGCCTCAACTTATTAGGGGAGTAAAGGCATGATAATTAAATTTGTAGATAGGTAGGAAAGTATGTAGTAACAAGGACATGAGGTTGCAGATGGATGTACGTAGGTTGAGTGATGAGCAAAAATCTGGCAGATGGAGTGTACCGTTGGGCACGGTAAAGTTAATCATTTTGGCAGAAAGAATAAAAAAAATCTATACCTAAACTGAGAGTGCCTGCTGAATTCCAAGATGCAGAATAATCTAAGTAATCTCATATGAATTGCAAAAGGTTAAATGCAGGTACAGCAAGTAGTTAAAGCTAGTGGATAGTTATTCTTCATTACCAGAGGAATTGAACATGAAATTAAGGATGTCCTTTAGTTATATAGGTCATTGATGAGACCACATTTTGATTACTGCAAACATTTGTGGTATCTGAGTTACCTTGGATTCTTAAGTTTAGAATATTTTGTCTTTTTCTTATAGAGGAAAGTTACCTGTTTAGGTTGTACTGTTATAATCAAACTGCTCAGACATATTATGGCACGGGAAGACTTGAACCCAGTTCTTCTGGCTCAGGGACATGAACCCAACAACCACACCACGAGTCCCTTGCTATTTTGATTATTTTGCTGATAAAAGCGGTGTAAATGATGATTGTCATGATGGATTTCCATTGCTCAGTGTTATTTTTTCATAGTGTCTGTTAAATGCTGCTGAAGGCATTCGACTAGCTGCTCGCATTGTGGATACACCATGCAATGAGATGAATACAGATGACTTCCTTGCGGTGAGCATGTTTGATTCTTAATGTTTATAATAGCTAACCTAATTCAATACTTTTTTTCTCTGTTCTTCCACTTGATGTTAAAAGTCAAAGCATCAGGTTTTTGGTCACAGCAAGTTTTTTTCAGACTTAGTGATGATAGGCAACACACTGATTTTTGTTTGTAATATTTTAAAACATCGTAGTCATGTATGCTAGTCCTATTTCTAACAGAATTTTTTGTCCTAAAGTGATGTTGCCATATGTTGAAGTTCAGTCGGTTTCAGTGTATTTTACTACAATACCCTCCTTGCCTTGGCCTTTCTCCACTCATTATTCAGTGCTGCAACAGAATTTGCAAAGACAAAATGTATCTGTTTGGACATCATGGTTTGCCATATATAGGACTTTCCAATGTCATCAGGGTAGGCCAGGAGGAGAAAAGAAAATCTTCACTTAGAGATTAATTTGCTGGGATGCAACTTTGTTTTTGCAGCATGTTTTTTTTTTAAATTCATCTTTGGGATGTGGGCTTCATTGGCTGGTCAGCAGTTACTGCACATTCATAGTCACCCTTGAGAAGGTGCTGGTGAGCTACAATCTATTCACTACACTCAGAATGTAAATATATCTACTGTAACAGTTCAAGGATGTCAGGAAAAGTATGAAATGTGAAAAATCATATGCAAAGAACCCATCTTTATGCTGTGCCTGTCACAATTTCAAGATATCTGAAAGCTCTTTGCAGTCAATGAAGTGCTTTTAAAATGTCATTATTGTAATCTATAAACAGTACTCCTTTAGCATATAGCGATTTCCTATGAGCAACATTGAGATAACAGTGGTGGTTGAGGTCGAATTTTTAGCTCGTCTCTTGCTCTTCAATATTGTATCTTTTTTTTAATGTTCACCAAGAAGGGCAGAGTGGATTTAACCTGAAATACTTCTGACAAGTTCATCAATCCTTCAGGACTACACTGGTGTTTTAGCCTAGATTTTTGTATTGAGTCCCTAGACTATAGCTTGAAAATGCAACCTTTCGATTCCACAGAGAAATTTATGACAGTGCACTTATCATAATTCTCCAAACTGGCTTGTACATTGAGCATAATGAATATGCTTAATGGGTGGATTCTGATCTAGGAGAATGTGATTTGTGCGCACATCAAGGTTGCATCTATGTTTCATTGTATAAGTGAATCCTGTTGATGAGAGAGGGGTACTGGATTGTAGGTATTGCAATTCTAAATAACGTAAAAGTGTTATGAAGGGTTACTTCAAATAATTTGTAATGTTTTTCTACTTATTACTAACTTATGAATTTCCATTTTCAACTTGTAAGTGTTAGCTATTTTTGAATGAAAAATGTGTCTGTTTGTCATAACAGCAGTACTTCATGCAGATAATAGAGAGGTGAAAAATCAAAGTGCTGGAGAAACAGAGGTCCTCAAAAAGAGTTACAGTAGGTTCAAATGTTAAGGCAGTGTTGCTCTCTCCACTGGGAGATGCTGCCACACCTGTTGAGTTTCTCCAGCACTTTTTGTGAGGAATATTTGATGTTTTAAAAATTATGTTTGGTTAGGCCCTGGAGAATAGGTGGTTGACATTTGTTTTGAGCAAAATTGCTATAGTCACGTGTAGTACCTCACACTTCTTCAGCTTAAAACCATTTTTCCTATTGAGTACTTTATTTACAATGTTTCTTTTTTTCTACTAGGAAATTGAACTTGTGGGATCTGAGCTGGGCATTATTCCCACTGTTATCCGCGGAGAGGAACTTAATCACAAGGGATTTGGAGGTAGTGTCCATTATATAGTAGCTGACGCTTTAAGAAGACTAAAATTATATTGTTTAAGCACTTTTTCTATGTTCAATTTTCTATTTAAAATAAACTTTTAAATGTATTCTGCATCATTTTCAGTGACCAATCTTCCTGTTTCCAGGATTAAGTATTCTTTGCCAGAAGTTTATATAACTTTCTATATGTTGGGATTACACCATTAGGGAATATGAGCATAGTTGTTATATTACAAGACCAGTTATCCAAGGCCTTGGCTAATGATTTGGCCACAAATTTAATCTTGCCACAGCACCTGGAGAATTTACATTCAGCTAAGTAAGTATATCTGGAATAAAACACTAGTATCTAATAAAGATGACCACTTAAATACATTTTGTAAAGTCTGTCAGATTCACTGAAGTATTTTTAGGGCAGGAAATCTATTGCCCTTACTTGACAGTAAGTCAAGTCTGACCTCCTTATAGTTCCAGACCCATAGTAATGTGGTTGACTTTTAACTGCCCTCTGGAATGGCTTAGCATGCCCCTCAGCATCAAGAAGACAACTCATCACCACCTGCTTAATGGAATAAGAAATAGATGCTGACTTAGTCGGTGATACCTATGTTCTGTGATTGAATTTTTAAAAATTAATGTTGATGTGGTCAGTTGTAGTGTGTTTCAGTTTATAGTTTTATTCCTAGTCGTCTTGAATCCTGAGCCAAACTCTGCGTTAAGTGTGAATTAAAATCCTCACTGCTAAGTTCAACTTTCTTTGTAATTGGACTCTTGCAACATGTTGGTGATCTTTTCACTTTGCATTCATTTAAAGTATTCATTTGATTTGTATTTATGTTATTTTTTCAGGTATCTATGGAGTTGGAAAGGCTGCTGTGAACCCACCTATTCTTGCAATACTTAGTCACACTCCAGAGGATGCTACACAAACTATAGCCTGGGTTGGCAAGGGTATTGTTTATGACACTGGTGGTCTCAGCATCAAATCTAAGGTGATACAACTTTGCTGTTTATTTGTTCTTACCTTTGTTGATCATTCACACTAGACCTATTCCAAAATGAACACATTTGATTCAGTATATCAATTATAGAATATTGAATCTCTTTATCAATTCGAAGTTACTGGATATATAAGATAAAAATCTAATATATTTTGTTTTCCATACGATTTAGAAGAGACAAATTTATGAGGCTATGACTTGCATATCCAATATAGTAACAAAGATTTATAACACTAACCAGTATATGTGTGAGTTCCTTAGTTTGTATATTTAGTGTCTTAATTTTGATGTATTTCAGTGTGAACAGTTTATGTTTTGCAATATGTTTAGCAATATCAATAAAAATTCTTTACTGACTGATGAGCAAAAATACTGTAAAATATGCAAGAGTGCCTATTTGAGCATGGTTAAACGCCATAGTTTACTGGTTTAAATCTAATGAAAAACTAACAGTCCTGCTGAAACAATGACAGCCTCAAGTTATGAGGCTGATGACTTTAATCGGACTTTCTTAAGGTTATATTCAAAAAAGTGATGAGTGTCAATGTACTTAAATTGTGCAATGTATTTAATAGCGTGAAGAACTTGCTAACCACAAAAGGTTAAAAAATAATCTGTCTTTTACTGTGGCAAGATAAAGTAGTACCACCATTATAAATTGGTGGTTTATTTTATGCCTTTGTAATTATTTTACTGGATTATTCTCCTATAAACATGAGTTGAATTGATATTTTTTAGACCTATATGCCAGGTATGAAGAGGGATTGTGGGGGTGCTGCTGCTGTTCTGGGAGCCTTCAGAGCAGCTGTGAAACAGGTGAGTATGTTCCTTTCTGTTTCTGGTGGTAAGGGATTCAGAAGTTACACTGAGTGAGGAATTTTCCTAATCTTTGGGTCATTAAAAACATGTTTGAGATTCTTGAGTTTTGAAGGAGGATCACTGGACTCCAGGCATTGACTCTACTACTTCTCCATAGGTGCTGCCAGACCTCCTGCATTTCTCCATCAATTTGTTTTTTGTTTTAGACCTTTAGCATCTGCAGTTCCTTATTTTATTTCAGAGGTTCTTTCTATTTCCTTTGCCCTCCTTTCCTGAAGCTGACTCTTGCAGAATACAGATTCGTGAGCTATGGGCCAATATCTATTGATTTCAGCAGCTTAAGACAACACATGTCAGACTTCATATTATACTGATTTGATCATGGTGCAATGTATTCATATCTTCAAACCATTGTTGCACTTCAGTAATACAATCTCCTAAAATAAATTTTAGGCTAATTTATCAAAACATTCTTCATGAAATTCCTCTTTAATTCTGAAAACTAACAAGCAATTAAATTCCAGGTGATTATGCCACTTCTGTCACTTAACCCAGCTGTTGTGGAATATTATTCAGTTTGCAGAAGGCAAAAGGCCTGCACAGTATCCACATTCATTGCTTGTATGGCATCCATTTGGGAACATAGGTCTTGGAAGCAGGCGCAGGGCATTTGGTCTTTCAGTCCTTCCAAGCCTGCTTTGCCATTCAAGATCATTGCTGATCTGATTGTGGTCTCAGCTGCACTTTCCTGTTTGCCTTCCATGACTCTTCACTCCCTTATCTATAGAAAGTATATCTAAATCACCTGGAATAAACCCATGAGCCTAGATTGTTTTCTGGGCGAGAGAATCCCACTTATTCATGACCTTCTAAGAAAATTTGACCTTGATCAGATGGACCAATGGACTGAGAAGTGGCAGATGGAGTTTAATTTAGATAAATGTGTGGAGTTGCATTTTGGTTAGGCAAATCAGGACAGGAGTTATACAGTTAATGCTAATGCCCTGGGGAGTGCTGTTGAACAAAGAGACCTCGGGTTGCAGGTGCATAGTTCCTTAAGTGGAGTCGTGGGGAGACAGGTTGGTGAAGAAGGTGAAGGCAAACTGCCAAACATTGGTCAGTGCATTAAGTATAGCAGAGTTGGGATGTCATGCTTTGGCTGTACAGGACATTGGTTAGGTCACTTTTGGAATACTGCACTCAATTCTGGTCTCCCTGGAAAGATGTTGTTAAACTTGAAAGGATTCAGAAAAGATTTACAAGGCTGTTGCCAGGATTGGAAGGTTTGAGTTATAGGGAGAAGCTGAGTAGGCTGAAGCTCCTTACCCGAAACAATGGAGACTGAGGTTTATAAAATCATGAGGGGGATGGATAGAGTAATTATCTTCTAGGGTGGGACAGTACAAAACTAGAGGGAATAGGTTTAAGGTGAGAGGGGAAAGATTGAGAAGGACCTGAGGAGTAACCTTTTCTTGCAGAGGGTAGAATGAGCTGCAAGAGGAAATGGTGGAGGCAGGTACAATTATAACACGTAAAAGGCTACTGGATGGGTAAATGACTAGGAAGAGTCATGGGCTAAATGCTGGAAAGTGGGACTACGTCAGATTGGGATTTCGTTCGGTGCAGACAAATTGGACCGAAGAGTCTCACAGCACGGAAACAGACCCGGTAACTTTAGCTCCAGGACATCTTTGCAGGAGTTCCTCAAGGTAGTGTCCTCAGTCCGACTCTTCACCTGGTTTATCAATGATCTTCCCTCCATCATGAGATCAGAGATTGGAACGTCATGACTTCTCAGATATTGAAACAGTCCACTTTCAAATACAGAAAGACTTGAACAATATCTAGGCTTAGGCTGACAAAAGACAAGTAATGCTTGTGTGTCACAAGTGTCAGGCAATAATAATCTCTAATAAGAGAGAATCTAACCATCGCCCCATGACATTTAGTGACATTACCATCTCTGAATCCCCATTATCAACATCCTGGGGACAATATTGACCAAGAATCAAATTGGACTAGCCATATAAATACTGCCGATAGAAGGCTAGGAATCCTTCAATGAGTAACTCACCTCATGACTCCCCAAAACCTGTCCATCCAACAGGCATAAGTCAGGAGTTTGATGAAATACTCCCCACTTGCCTTGATGAGTGCAGCCACATCACTTCGGAAGCTTGACTCCCATCCAAGACAAAGCAACCTACTTGATTAGCACCATGTTCACATTCACTCCCTCAGCCACCAAAGTGCAGTAGCAGCAGTGTGTACCATTTACAAGATGCATTGCAGAAATTCTTGATGTAGCATCTTCCAAACCCGTGGCCACAGTCATTCTAGAAGGACAAGGGCTACAAAGAAACACCACCACCTGCATGTTTCTTCCCAAGCTAGTTGCCATTCTGACTTAGAAATATATTACCGTTCCTTCAGTGTTTCTGGGTCAAAATCCTGGAAATTCCTCGCTATTGGTATTCTGGGCTTACCTCCAGCACATGGACTGTAGCAGTTAAAGAAGGCAGCTCACCATGACCTTCTGGAGCAATTAAGGACAAGCAATAAAGGTTGGCCTTGCCAGTGAAGCCCATATCTTCCTGAATTAATTTTTAAAAAAGTATGCCAGACTATTAAAAGATGGTGTAGAACATGTTAGCACCACTTTAAATAGTTGGGTCCTGAAGAAAGCATTGAATCTTCCATATTTTTTGTCTCCTTTTTACACATTGACTTTAATGTTTAAAGCTGTTAAACTATAATTTAAGCACACTAAACACAGTATGTGTAATAATATCCCATTCAAGTCTTTTTTTAAGCTTTTAATACAAATCATTCTACTACAATAAAGATTCATTCAGCGATCCAGAAAATAAATTTTAGATTTGTGACAAAAAAAAATTTCAAATTTCTCATTTCCAAGCAAAATGGCATGTAAAAAACCTATCAATATTTACCTTTGCAACTTTGAAGGCGCCCTTCAGGCCATTGTTTAATTTTTTTTGGCTTTAAAGGCCTGACTTTCCAAGTTCATACTTTGTAACTAATCATCCCCAGTGGCATCCTAACAACTCCACACTGCACTTTCTCCATTGTTTTTATACTCTTTCTATAATGTTTAGGATGCAAAGATCCAGTATATTTCATTTTTATGCAATTTTCTTTTGAATTGTTTGTCACAGGATGCTGTAGTGAGATTCTATTTGTGGTTTCTTTGTATTAACTTTTGTTAATTTGTGCTACTATTATTAACATCCTGTTCATCAAGGTTCCTGTGCTGCTCAATATTCAAACGTTACCATTTGAAGCTAATCCCATAATCTTTCTTTCAGAAATGTATTGCTTCACAAATTTTCTATGTTCTATTTTCAGTATGTTTACCTCTGCATTTTGCATTCTACTGTTTTTCACCAACATTTTGCACTTTCACTTGAATGCATGTGGTATTAATTAACCATATCCTTGTCAAATTATGTATTACATACAGTGAGAAGATTGCATGTCGGTTACTTACTGATTGCAAATATATCAAATCACAGTGATAATTTTGTTTATTTTAGACTACATGATATGTTTACAACTAGATTCTAGTTTAAAAATGCATTGTTAATAACCTTGTTATGCTTAAGGAATTTCATTTCTCTTAATCAGGGTTTTAGAGAGAACTTGCATGCATTGTTCTGCCTGGCAGAGAATGCAGTTGGAGCCAATGCTACAAGACCAGATGACATTCACCAACTGTACTCTGGAAAGTGAGTTAATGGATTGACATGCTGAATCTGTCCCTAATGCCCCCTACATTTGTTCCAATAAAAAAGAAGAACACAAGATGCGGAGTAGACATGATTTAAACTTGGTTTCTTCAGAAATACCTTGTAGTGTGCTACTCTAAATTCTAGTCAGAATGCAGCACTAAAAAAAGATGAAATATTGCTTGCTAATATTTTGGTTAGGTGCTAATCCTGGTTTACTGTCTTGAATATTTGCTGTTTTAACACCATGCTTTCTGCAATCCATGAGTACGTTACAAGTCCTAATCTTGCAAAAGTTTGCAGATGACTTCTATCACAGCATGACCTGTATGAAGAAAGTGAAATGAGGGCTTAAGTCTACAATATAATAATAGTAAGCAATATCAGTTTTGATCTCTTGCTTACGAAACCTTCTTTTACTCTATAGAACTGTTGAAATTAATAACACAGATGCAGAGGGCCGCCTGGTTTTGGCTGATGGCGTGTCATATGCTTGTAAGGATCTTAAAGCAGATGTCATCTTGGATATTGCTACTTTAACTGGTGCTCAGGTAGGTAACCATTCCAGTATATTTTGATCTAACTCTTAATTTGCACAGACACCTAAGGTTATCTTGTGTTGGAGTGTACAAATTGATCTTTTAACTAGAAGCAGCATTTATTGTGAGTTATCAACAATTGAAGATATTTAAGTATTTTATTAAATTGGACAGCGGGTCAGAAAAGATTTATCAGGAAGTTGCTGGGAATGGAGGGTTTGAGTTATAAAGGGAGGCTGGATAGACTGGGACTTTTTTAACTGGAGCATAGGAATTGAGGAATGACCTTATAGAAGTCTATAAAATCATGAGGGGTATAATTAAGGGAAAAACAAGGGTCTTTTCCCTAAGTGGGGGGAGTTCAAAACTGGAGAGTATATTTTTAAAGTGAGTGGAGAAAGATTTAAAAAGGAAATGAAGGACAACATTTTTATACGTACAGTGGTTTGTATGTGGAATAAACTGCCAAAGGAAGTGGTGGATGCAGGCACCGTTACAGCATTTAAAAGACATTCGTACATGAATACATAAGGTTTGGAGGGATATGAGTCAAATGCGGGCAAGCGGGACTAGTTTGGTTTGGGAGTATGGTTGGCACAGACTAGTTGGACTGAAAGGTCTGTTTCTGTGCTGTATGACTGTGTGACTCTATAAATATCTGTTAGCCATATGCAGTTTCATTTCTATTTTGTTTTTACTGTATTGAATCTTAATACACATGGCAACTGTTTTTGATTTTACTTAATAGTGTATGAGGTATAGAGATAATTGGAATTTGTTCAGTTAGTTCAGGTTAGGGGTGGCCATGATTATGTGTAAAGGTTGCTTATATGCAGATCGAACCCACTGTCAAATATGAGACTTGACTAAGAATGCATTATTTGCCTTAGGAAACTTAGTTCAGGAAATTAGTCACAATTCAAGTTCTTTTTTTAAGTATCCCCCCTCATCCATGTGTGATTTCTGTACAGTCTGTCCACCTGTTCAACAAGAAAGCAGATGGCTAGTCTGTTCATAGCAGCAATTTCTAAAAAAAATTTTCTATGTTTTGATTTTTGGTGACAGCGTTTTAGTTTTTAGCAGCAACTTTGTCATTCTCACTAACTCAATTAGTTGGTGATACAGACATGGTAACAATACTATCTGCATTTGCATCGTGTGACAATACTGTGGCTTTAAGAGGTGTATTTTGTCCTGTTTGTTTTCCTTTGAAGAAAGATTGAAATTGGAGGTGATGATTGATCTGCTTCAAAGCCCATAAATTAAACAGCTTGTGAGACTTTGGTTTTTATTTCCTAAGGTTGGAACAATAGAAGCAGCCTGAATGGGTGGAGACAAGCTCCCACAGAGCCAGGATTCTTATTAGTAGTATTTTCAGTAGCAGTTGCTGGGGCCTCAAAGCTGGTTTTAGAAGACGCAATACCTCTCTCCCTGCAATCTTTCTCTCACTGTCTCTTGCTCTCCCTGAGTTTTCTCTTGATGTTTTTCCTCCTGGACTGGAGAATTGCCTGTGAGACAATCTATTTTTACTGAAGTTTGCCTTTTGCCAAGGGTCTGTTTATGGAATGCTTCTATATTGGAACAGTAAATTAGAGTAGTTAGTATATCTGACATTTTGATAGAGTTACAGTTAAGCCAATTCTTTTATTTTTATTTTGTCTGTATTTTTAACTGTAATGTAAAAATAAAGTGTGTTTTGCCTAATGTTGAGTAGTTTGATCAAATTGCATCTGGAGCGCAACACCTTACACTTACCTTTTAAAATAAGAAAAATTTATGGTCTAGACTATTTTCTGGATATATTTTGAGGGAATTTGGTCTGGTCCATAACAATTGACGTATAGTATACATGGACTGTCTCAGAATTGGAATTTAAGTAATTTACCAAAATCCTCAATAATCTCCACTAAAGTTAGAGCATAAAGAAAAGTAATAATTTTGTAGACACCACAGTACTTTTAAGTTGGTATAAGAGAACAGGTATCTCAATCTCCGGATTAAACTTAACCAATAACACTCTTCATTCCAACAGGGTCAACGATATATTTTCCCAGTGTCATAGCTCCTGATCTTACAGCCTTAGAGTAGAGATTTCATGACCTGCCCGCCCTCCCCAATCAACTCTCTCCCCCTCACCATATGCCTGGCAACCCTTATGTAGCTACACCCTCTTCCTTCTTTCCCACATCTATGCACTTCTGACAGATACTCACGTTAGACCCAGCTAACAGAACTCCAGGTCTTGACTAAGATGTCCTTGATCTTGGCCTCGGCCTCAGCTAAATGTGACAACCTTACTTGTCCTACTCACTAGTGAGCCTGTCAGCAAAAGCATTGGAGAGAGCCAACCTATGTTTGGAGTGGTTCCTCACACAGTTTCCTTCTGTGCAATTTAAAGAGACCACATTTGTTTGATTGGTCCTAAACCCCCAGCCCCCCCGAGTGAATTTCCAGGGTGATTTGAAGACTTTCAGGGGCAGATCTGCCCACTATGTCTGTGTTTTGAGAGTATTGTTTATTTTATTTTTTTATATAGAATCCCTACAGTGTGGAAACAGGCCCTTCAGCCCAACAAGTCCACACCAACCCTCAGAGCACCCACTCAAACCTGTCTAATCTACAAATCCCTGAACACTACAGGCAATTTAGCATGACCAATCCACCTAGCCTGCAGGCTAGTGGTGGAATTTGCAATTGATCATTGGCAATGTGCAACATCAATTCAAAAGTTACACTTCCAGACATTTCTGGTAGTTTCATTTAGAAGATAATGAACTCTCCTATACGTTCTCTGCTCTCAGTGCATCTTTGGATGCAGGCAATTTATATATCTTCTGTGCAAATTGCCTTTCACTGTTCTGACTTGTAATATTTTCAATTTTGGCTCCTGTAAGGCAGTAGGCAGTTACATTTATTATAGATTACTGAATTGGCTCTTTTTATAGTTGCTAAGTGAACAAATCTCTTGATTTTCTTTTTCAACCAGGGTATTGCTACTGGAAAGTATCATGCTGGATTACTTACCAATAGTGAAGAATGGGAGCGAGCCTGTGTAAAAGCTGGGCAGAACAGTGGTGATCTTGTGCAGCCAATGGTTTACTGTCCTGAACTGCATTTCAGTGAATTTACTTCTGCTGTGGCAGATATGAAAAATTTTGTGGCTGTAAGTTAATAATGAACACAACTAACCAAATAGACAATTTGGGTTGTTTGGTTGGTTGGGACTGATTTTGTATATTGTTTGTTCTTTTAGATTTTATGTGGCTTGACTTAAAAGGTTTATCTGCATGGAACAGTTCTGTATCATTTTGCAAAGTAGCATCTACTGTAAAATTAATTGGTCAATCCGAATATCCTTGTATTTCCTGAACTTTTTCTATGTCCAGGAAACTAACATGTTACTAATGTTTGTATCGATTATCATCAAATTGACTTCAGTTCAAGAAAGCCACTCACCACCACCCCCTTGAGGGCAACTAGGGATAGGCAATAAACATTTGCTGAACCAGCGGTCCCCATGTCCCTTGAACAAATAGAAAAAGAGTGAAGGTTTAAAAACAACTTGAAGTGAGGAATGACAGAATTGTGAAATTTCACATTTTCCATGCTAAGCATCCTACATTTGCCTCAAACTTTGAATGGGTTACGCAGTGCTGGTTTACACAATCATCTGACTAGCAACCCAATCTCTACCAATTGTGGTATTCCCACACTCCTTGCCTTCCATCCTTTTGGAGTTTCTGAATAAGATCATCAGAAGGGTCAGCTATCTGCTGCTAGATCCAGGCCTGACGGCCAGTGAATTGAAACTGACCAGGCCAATTTTGCTTACAAGAAGTTGACAGAGAAAAGGTGGGTGCTGGCAGAAAGTAAAGGGATTTAAGGTAGAGTAAAAACACAGATTGATTTTAGGTATTTTTTTAGAGAGGAAATACTGTGGTGGAAGGAGTTCAGTCAGACTGCAACTTCTCTGAAGGATTAGCCTCAGTGCTGGGCTAGGAGACAAACTACAATGCAGATAAAGGAATGGAGTAGCTGGGCTGGCACACTCAACTGGGGGAAAAAAGCAAGATAAGGAAGGATTAGGTTACTCGGAGACATGGAAATGAGGGTGAGGATCCTCCAACTGAATCTTTTTAGCAGAGAACTATTGGAGCTAGGTGCAGGTAGGGTTAATGGATGCATGACAGTCTGTACAAGAGAGTTCTCAAAATATTGTGAACTAGATTGAGAGTAGCTTATATAGGGAGAAGCAAGGAGCCCAAGGAAAATACTACTTGAAAAATCGATCCTCCATGCTGTTAATGCTTAGATGTTTGGTTCAGCATAGAATCATACAGCATGGAAACAGGCCCTTTGGCCCAACTCGTCCATGCTGTCCATGTTTTCTGAACTGAACTAGTCCCATTTGTCTGCGTTTGGCCCATATCCCTCTAAACTTTTCCTATCCATGTACCTGTCCAAATATGTTTAAAATGTTGTAATTGTACTCATCTCTACCACTTCCTCTGGCACATACACACACCACCCTTTGTGCGAAAAAAGTTACCTTTCCCTTCTCTTTCCCCTCTCACCTTAAATTATGCTCTCTAGTTTTGGGCTCCCCTACTCTAGGGAAAAGACCTTGGTTATTCACCTTATCTATGCTGCTTATGATTTTATAAACCTCTATAAGGTTACCCCTCAACCTCTGACACTCCAGGGGAAAAAAGTCTCAGCTTATTCAGCCTCTCCTTTATAACTCAAATCTTCCAGTCTCAGTAACATTCTTGTAAATCCTTTTGCACCCTTTCCAGTTTAATAACATCTCTCCTATAGCCAGGGTGGCCAAAATTGTACGCAGTACTCAAATGTAGCTGTACAATGTCTTATACAGCCATAACATGCATCCCAACTGCTGTACTCAATGCTATGACTGATGAAGTCAAGTGTACCAAATGGCGCCTTCACTACCCTGTCTATCTGTGATTCACTTTCAAGGTATCCCTAAGTGTCTCTGTTTGACAACACACCCTAGGCCCCTACCATTAACTGTATAAGTACTACCCAGGTTTGTCTTGCCAAAATGCAATGCAACATATACATCTGAATTAAATTCCATCTGCAATTCCTTGCCTCACTGGTCCAATTGATCAAGACCATGATGTGGAGATGCCAGTGTTGGACTGGGGAGGACAAAGTCAGGAGTCATACGACGCCAGGTCACTTCACCTGACAAAGGAGCAGCACTCTGAAAGCTTGTAATTTTAATTAAATCTGTTGGACTATAACCTGATGTTGTGTGACTTCTGACTTGATCAAGATCGTGTTGGGGAGAAATGATGGAAGTGTATAATGTTTAATAAGGGGAGGCAGTTATCAAAGGATGTAGAACTCCAGCATGACTTATATGGTGAATAGAATAGCACGCTGTACAAGTAATAAGGTTTAAAAATATAAATTTAGAATGAGAAAAGCAGCATCAGACTGCTCTTGATAGAATTTGTTGTATAAAGTATAGTCACTGTTCTGAAAGGGTTAATACTAAAGACTGCCTTAAGATCCATACAGTCTTATGTCACAAAGACTTGGAGCGGTGAAACGCAGAACATCTGAGGATCTTGAAGGGACCATACCTATTATCCTCGGTCTCCCAATAGTATTAGTAGCAATGCCTTTCTTAGTAATGTTAATAGATTGCTGTCATGCAATAAACTATGTCTAGTTTCTGACGAGAGCCTTTTATCATTAGACTATCTAGTGGTTTTCCTTTGCCACTTCTAATGAAGTTAACCCTGTAGACCCAGTCACAAAAGGCGATGGTAGCAGCTATCTACCATCCACTTGTAATGCCAACCACTACCAACATGCTCATTGCAGAGCTGGAATCGAAGTATGCTGAATGGTTGGTCTTGTTTCTAATTATATTAAAATAGAGGAAGTTCTGACTCACCCAGTGTTTGAAGGAGTGAAGCCATTGGGTAGTAAAGCAATAGCCAAACTCCAGGATAATTTCCTGCCCTACACAATATCTACAATCTCCTCAGAGACTTTAACTATTCAGTAAAACTACTGTCTCATAGTTTGGCAGGGCCATATGTCCTTGCTAGAGTCACCATCTCCTGTGAACAAATCTGAAAAAGACCCTCTCTTTTATGAAGGTTAGCTTGGCAATAATTCTGCTTAGTTATTGTGATCCTGTTTTATAGTGATTACAAACTACTCAACTGTGGAACAATACCAGTTCAAGAAGCGATTACATATTTTACTGTACATATTTATGTGTGTATAATATATATGTGTGTGTATGCGCCCATTTTCTTGGCCTTTAAATATCACAATTAACAAGCAAGTGTATGGCTGCAAAGGTATAGGATGAACCACAGAATCACAAAGGAAATTTTTACCTTTGGTAGTGTGGGCTAATTGTGCATGTACGTTCATGTGTGAGGTTTTATGTATGATTTTAGATTTAAGTGCAGGTACCATGACTGGGAAGCTTACAGAGGATGAAAGAATTGGCTGTTGAGGGATTTGATGAGGAAGAAAGCTGTAGACTGCCAAAAGCGATCAATGGATTGGTCAGCTGGGCAGAAATGTGACAAATAGAATTTAATCCTGAGAAAGTACAAAGTAAACAAGTTAAGAGATTACATTAGTGCTTCTGGACTACTGAGAAGTGTGGAGGACAGAGGGACCTCAGAATATGTGCCCACAGAAACGTGAACGTAACGGGTCCGTAAGGGGTCATGTCGCTAAGGTGTCTGACAGGCTTTGGAATTTTTTGTTTGCCAAGGTTTAGAAAATAAGAAGAGAGGGAACAGAAACAGAAATTGCTGGAAAAGCTCGGCAAGTCTGGCAATATCTCTGGAGAGAAATCTCTGGAGAGTTAACGTTTTGAATTCCTTAGAGCACAGTTCCAGCAATTTCTGTTTTTAAGAGAGGGAAGTTATGCAACTGTACAAAACTCAAGTGAGGCCATAAATGGAATACTGTGTACAATTCTGGTCACTGCATTACCAAAGGATGTAATTGTAGAGAGGGTACAGAGAAAATTCATGCAGATGTTGCCAGGATTGTAAAATTTTAGCTGGCTCGGACTGTTTTCCTTCAAGCAGGGGAAGGAACGTTTCCTGTAAGCTACGTAGCTGCTGGGAGGTTCCATACACTCTGATCAGTGTCTCAATGCAATGGGTTCTGAATGTGGAAGGCATTACCACACACAGGTCAATGCAGCAGAAAAAAAATTTAGGGGGAATGTCGTTGAAGGGAGATTTTTAAAAAAAATTATTTCATAGGATGTGACTGTCACTGACAAATTTCCCATTTATTGGTCAGTCCTGATTGCATTCAAGAAGGTGATGAACTATATAATTGAATTGCTGTAGTCCATCTGGGGTAGACAAACTCACAGAAAGAAAGTGCCACGATTTTGCTGCAACAGCAGTGAAGAGCTGATGACATAGTTAAAAGTCAGGATTGTGCACAGCTTGGAGGGGAGCTTGCAGTCATATACTTGTATTTACCTGCATCTGCATTTGCAGATAGTAGCTGTATTGAGTTTCTAAGGTGCTGTTAAAGAATATTTGTCAAGTTACTACTGTGCATCTTCTATAAGGTATATGTTGCAGTCTTTGCGCTTGTGAAGATTTAAGGTAGCACATGGGATGCTAATCAAACTAGATGCTTTGTCCAGGATTGTTTTGATGTTTTTGAATGTTGTTAGAGCTGCAATTATCCAAATACTCCACCCTACTCCTGACCTGTACCTTGTTGCTATATTATTTCTATGACTGGTCTAGGCATTTCTGGCCAGTGGTAGCTCCCCTGCCCCCAGGTTATTGTTAGGGGGAATTCAGTTATGTAACACTATTGATTGTTAAGATTGTTAGATTATTGTTCTAGAAGGTGGTCATTGTGTGCCATTTATGTGCAGCGAAAGTTAGTTGCCACTTTTTTTAGCCAAAGCTTGAATGCCATTCAGGTCTTCCTGCTTGTGGACATGGGTTGCTTTAGTAAGTGAAAAGTCATGAATGGTGCTGAACAATCATCAGGGAAGCACCTCGCTTCCTACTTTATGATGGAGGAAAAGTCATTAAAGCAGCTGAATATTTTTGAGCTTGGGATATGGTACCCTGCAGTGATGTCCTGGGTCTGAGATGATTCACCTCCAACAAACTTGACCATCTTCCTTTTACATTAGGTCTGACTCCAACTAACAGAGATTTATGCCCCTGACTCCTATCTGACTCCAGTTTTGCTAGGGCTTCTTGGTACCACTCTCAGTCAAATGCAGTCTTGATATCAAGAGCAGTCACTTTCACCTCACTATGAAGTTGAACTATTTCATACATGTTTGGATCAAGGCTCTGATGAAGTCAGAGCTTAGCATCTCTAACAGTATCAAGCTGAACATCTGTGAGAAGGTTACTGCTGACTGTATAGCAGTATCAATGACCCTTGCATCATATTGATCAAGAGCAGACTGGGGCAGTCATCTTCTGAATTGGATTTGTTCCGTTTTCTGTGTATTGGACATATCTAGGCAATTTTCTATGTTAGTGGGTAGATGCCAGTGTTGTAACTGTTCTGGAGTAGCTTGGCTAGGAGGATGGCGGGTTCTGAAGCACAGTCTTTAGTACTGTTACCAGGATGTTATCAAGGCTCATAGCCCCTTATTCACTGCCTTCAGGCGTGCCTTCATATGATGTGGAGTAAATCAAATTTGTTGAAGTTTGGCATCTGTGATGCTGTGGACCTTGGGTAGAGGTCAAGGTGGATTTGCAAATGATTAAGCCTCGTCCTTTATGCTGAAGTGTGTAAGTCATGGAGGAGCCTAGAAATTTTGCATAGTAATTACCTATTTTAGCCAAGAGATCAATACTTTGGAGGTTAGAGTCAAATAATCCTTGGAGAGATTCGAGAGGAATTGAGAATTTGTTTACACCCATACAGTTCAAGGAGGGCTCTCTGCTTAAATGTAAGGTAGAGGCTAACACCCTCAGCATATTTTAAGAAGTACTCAATTATGCAGGTAAGTTGCTGTAACCTGTAATGTCCAAATGCTTGGAAATGGGATTATGTTCAAGACATTATTCCCTCTAAACTACATGGTCATGCAGCCTCTCGGAGAGCTGATCACCATGCTGACACATTGGCTTCCATTTTCAAAGACACTCCCACACACAGACCTTGAAGGTCAGAGCAGCAAAAGAAATAATTAGAGGGAACATTGATTGGATAGCTCTCTCTCAGGCAGCAAAGGAACATATCCTAACCTGTAAATTTCTGTCAGTTTTTAACACCATTGATTGTTGAGTTTTTATTCTGCGTTATATTTTTATTCAGAAATCTTCTGTTTGAAAATGTAGAGATTGCAAGAAAACACTTGTGCATAAATGAACTGTTCGTTTACTGGAAAGCAGCTGAATGGTTTTATCTCCAATATAATCCGATTGTTTCATTGCAGGATCGAGCCAATGCTATGAGTTCATGTGCGGGCTTGTTTATTGAAGCCCATATTGGTTTTGATTGGCCAGGCATCTGGGTGCATATTGACATGGCATCGCCAGTTCACACTGTGAGTATTTGTAGTTTATCTTTATGTAGTAATTGCATATCATGAGTTATGGCTGCATTCAGTAAATCTCTATTACTATACTCAAAATGCATAAAAGGTAAATTGATTTATTTTTATCTTCAAGTGCAAAATGTGTCTAACCAAAATGTTTTTGTTTTGTAACTTGATGTATTTGCTAGCTGTTTATACACGTCTTATCTATACCAGGACTCCGGAAGTGGGTTCTGCACTTGTGAAACAATCTACACCTGGAACTATGCTGGGACTGGTGTTATAGTGGGCTACATAGCTAGGGAAGTAGAGAGGGTTTTTAATGAAGTAGTGGGGACAAGGGATCCAATTTGGGAAGATGTGGAGAATCAAAATTTAGAGCCAAGGTAAAAGAGAATGTATCTCTTCCTGTCACAAAGTACATATCAAAGTAAATTAGATGAGGTTAGAGGTTACAAAAATAATAAAAGGATTAAACTAATGACTGTGTCTATCTGATTGCACGTAGAATTCAGAACATTAGTTATACTGATCAGGCTAATAAAAATAAATGTGCAATCTGATAGTCATTACAGAGACATGGCTGCTGAATGACATGGATTGGAACCTGAATGTTCAAGGGAGTAGGACATTTAGGAAGGACAAGAAACTTGGAAAAAATGGAGGAGTGGTTGTGATAATTAATAATGGTATCAGCAGAATAAACCGGAATGATCTACGTTTAAGAAACTAGGAAAGATAGTTCTGAAGAAGTCATACCAAACTCAAAATGTTGACTCACTTTCTCTGCAAATGCTGCCAGACCTGCTGATTTTCTTCAGCATTCTGTGTGTTTGTTTCAGATTTCCAGCATCTGCGGTAGTTTGCTTTTATTGGAGAAGCAATTTGGGTTAGATGACAAATGTGAAAGTAATAAATCATTTCTGGGAGTGGTGTGTAGGCCCCTAACCATAACCACATGGTGGGATGGAGTGTAAAGGTAGAAATAATGGGATCTTGTCATAAAGATACAAAGATTATCATAGAGGATTTTAATTTACATATAGGAAAAATCAGATGGGCAAATGTAACGTTGGTGGGTTCATGGAATGTTTTGAGATAGTTTCAGAGAACAGCACGTTCTGGAGCTGACTAGAGAGCAGGCTATACTAAACCTGGTAATGTGCAACAAGATCAAATTAATTAGTGACCTCCGTAAAGGCACTATGAGGTAACAGCAATCATAATATAATAAATTATACATTTTTTAGTTTGTGGGAGAGGAGTGAGTCCAGGATTTGTGTTTTAAATTTAAGTAAGGGAAATTGTGAGGGCATGAAAGTAGAGCTAGCAAAATAACTAATTAGGGTAAGAGGTAGGTCAATAGATGTGCAATGTTGGACATTTAAGGGGATATTTCAGAATACGCAGAATAGACATTCCAACGAGAGAAAATTTCCAAGGAGAAGAAGTGGAAAAAGTTACAAGATAGTTTCATACTTAAAGAAAAAGCCTTTAATTGCGCAAAGATACGTCGTAAGCCAGAATATAAAACAATAAGAGAATGACTAAAAAATTAATGGGAAAAATTAGACTGAGAGAAATCTAGCTAGAAATATTTAAAAAAAAAAAGCTAGTAAGAGTTTTCATAGATATTTGAAAAGGTGAAACATTAACAAAGTGAGTATTGGTCTTGTAGAAAGTGAGTCTGGGGAATTGACATTGGCGGATGTATCGATCAACAATTTTGCATTGGTCCTCACTGGAGGGGGTACAGGTAATCTCTTATAGTTGTAAGTCAGGAAATAGAAGAGCCGGAGGAACTCCAGAAAATTACAGTCACTAGCGAAGTATTGCTCAGTCCGCTGTTGGAGCTGTGCACTGACAAATCTCTAGGTCCTGATGGATTTCATTCTGGGTGTTAAAAGAAGTAACTAGTGAGATAGGTGATTTGGTTTTAATTTTCTAAAATTCCACAGATTTGGAAATGGTACCATTAGAGAAAAAGATGGAAAATACAACTTCTTTATTCAAAAGAGAGCGCAGGAAACCGGAAATTTCAGGCTTGTTAGCATAGCAGCTTTCATAGGGAAATAAAAATAGAAGCTGTTAAAAAATTACAAAGTATATTAGGCAGCGTCAACATGGTTTTTGAAATGGAAATCAATGGAAACCAATTTATTGGAGTTCTTTGAAGAAATAATATGGGCTGTGTTTGAAGGGGATCTAGTGGATGTACTGTACTAAGATTTCCACAAGGCATTTGATCAGGTGCCAGCGTCAAAAATGTTTGCAGAAAATAAAGGCTAATGGTGTGGAGAGTAACATATTGGCATGGACAGAAGTGTCTAGGTAACATGAAAAATAAATGTAGTATAATTAGGTTAATATGAAATTATCCATTTTGGTAGGACAAATTATTAAAAAAAGCCTATTACCTAAATGATGAGAAGTTAGAGAACTCTGAGATGCAGTGTGTTCTGTGTGTCCCAGTACATATGAATTGCAAAAGGCTAGCAAGTTCAGCAAGTAATTAGGAAAGCTAGATGAATGTTATTCTTGTGAAGGAAATTGAATACAAAAGTAGGGAGCTTATGCTTTTGTCATACAGGGTATTGGTGAGACTACATTTGGAATAGTGTGTACAGTAGGGCCCTCTTGTGACACAGTAGTAGTGTCTGTACCCCTGGACCAAGAGGCCTGGGTTCAAGTTGCACTTGCTGTAGAGGTGTGTAATAACATCTCTGAAGAGGGTGATTCGGGGTGGGGGGGGGGACGGTGGGGGAAATAGGTTGGTCACCTTGCTTAATAAAGGAGGTAAATATCTTGAAGGCAGTTCTGAGAAGGGTTACTTGATTAAGACCTGAAATGGGTAGACTGTCTTACGAGGAACAGACTGAGCTGTATCCTCTGGAGTTTAGAAGGATAAGAGGTTACTTGATTGAAGCATAAGATCTTGAGGGTGTTGACGCAGTTTATGCAGAAAGAATGTTTCCTATTTTGGGACAATCTAGGAGTCACTGTTTTTTTTTTCCCCAAAGAAGAATCAGGGGTCCATTGAAGACACATGGAACTTTTTCTCTGAGCGTCATGAATCTTGGCAACACACCTACTCAAAAAGTTGTGGAAGGAGAGGTTTTGAATATTTTTAAGTCTGAGCTGGATAGATGCTTGGTTGTTAGGAGAAGGCAGGAATGTGGAGTAATCAGATCAGCCTTGATCTTATTGAACAGTGGAGCAGGCCTGAGGGCCAAGTAGACTGTTACTGCTCCTAACTCTTGTGTTTTATTTTCAAACTCTTTATACTTTTTTTTTTGTTTATTTCCTCTTGAGAGAAGTGTGATTAATGATGTCTGGATCTGAGAAAGCCTTGAATTCCAAAGTTGGTGCGAGTGCATAGAGTCATAGTCATAGAGACGTGAAGTTATACAGCACAGAAAGAGACACCGGTCCAACTTGTCCATGCCGACCAAATATCCTAAATTAATCTAGTCCCATTTGCCAGCATTTGGCCCACATATCTCTAAACCCCTCCTATTCATGTAGCTATCCAGATGCCTTTTAAATGTTGTAATTGTACCAACCTACACCACTTTTTCTGGCAGCTCATTCCATACACCCATCATCCTCTGCTTGAAAACATTGCCCCTTAGGTTCCTTTTATAGCTTTCCCCTCTCACCTTAAACCTATGCTTCATCTAGTTTTGGACTCACCTGTACTTGAAAAAAGACCTTGGCTACTCATCATAACCCTTATAAACCTCTATAAGGTCACCCCTCAGCCTTTGATTCTCCAGGACAAATAGCCCCAGCCTCTTTAGCCTCTCTCTATACCAACTCCAGCAACATCCTTAATTCTTTTCTGCACCCTTTCAAATTTAACATCTTCCCTATAGCAGGGAGACCAGCTGCACTAAATACAGGTAGGCTTAATGTACTGTGGTGGAACTGGGGAGGACCTGAGGCAGTTGCGGGGTCAGTTAGTGTTTGGTGTGTTTCAGAATATTTGGAATGACTTATGTAAGAAGTAGAGTGGAATATTTGACTTCAGAGTAAATAGTGCCCAACTTATATAAAATCACCATATACCACAACAGCAAGGTGAAGTGATTTTGCAAACGTGTTTTCAATTAAGTATTGTATTGGCATTTCAAATCTACTATAATATTTTAGTCTCAAATGCCTAAACTTTGAATTATGTTGAAGTTTCACAAAGTAAAACTTCATGTTGCAAATGAGAACTGTGGACTGCATGTTGCAAATGATTCTTATAAGTGGTTTAGTTCATTGTTTTCATAAAGGATTCTAGTTGCTTGAGAAGAGTGGATAATGATGAATTGTTCTGATTGTTGGATGAAGTCTTCTGGTGTTCTTTGATGTACTTTTTGGTGGTTCATCCATAAGAATATAAGGAATCAGAATGGGCTGTGTGCGCTTTGGGTATGCTTTGCCATACAGTGAGGTCATGCCAGATCTTCCATACTCAATCTATCCCTGTATTCTTCATTTCCTTTAATGTGCAAAAATCTCTCAGTTGTATTCTTGAATATACTGAGTAATTGAACATCCACAGTTCTCTAGATAATCCTAAATATTCACAAGCCTCTGGGTGAAGAAATTTCTCCTTATTTCAGTTCCATTGCAGTTGATTTTTATATTTCTTTGAAACTGAAAGAAGAGTTTGAGCAGAAAAACTAATGTTTGCACTTTTTTTCCCATCAGGGAGCACGTGCTACAGGCTACGGGGTAGCTCTACTACTAGCATTGTTTGGTCGTGCAACAGATGATGCATTATTGAACTTGATTTCACCAGTTGGTGTTAATTTTGCTACAGAAGGTGATAATACAATGGAAAATTGCTGTAAAAAGAGACGGCTGGTATAAATTCTGCCTGAGGTTATGTTCATTCTTTTTTGTTACTTGGATATAGACTACTACTGAACCGGTGTGAGCCTATCTGTTGAATTATGCTTTCGAGTAGATGCCGTGCGAATTTAAATACTAACTGCTATATCCATGATGGTGTGCAGTTGCTGGATACTAGCATATGTAGACATAAATTGGGTCATGTTTCAAATGTTAAATTTCAAATGATGCAGAAGGAATCTATTATTTTGGCTTTATTACCATAATGTGATTTATTGACTTGCAAAAGTTGCAACTTTTCACATAATCTAAATCTGACCTAGCACCTCTTAGGATATCTGATATCAGTTTGACGACTTAATTTGCTGTACGTTGATTTGAAAAGTTCTTGACCACGTTGGTGTTTGTCCATCTTGACGGTCAGGTTTTACAGAATTTGTCATTTAACCTATAAATTGATTGTGAATCACTCAATCTTTACTTGTGACCCGTACTCCTTGAATAGAATGATATAGCAAAGATTTGTCCTAATGTCGGGTGGCACAAGAGCTCGTGTTCAGTTCTAACTGTTGAGAATGAGAGAGAGTGACAGGCAATCCCGTCATGTTTTGGGGCAAATAAATGGGCTATGTTAAAGCTAAAGGATTAACACTGAATGCAGGATTTTTTTTACATGTTGCAGGGCTTTGTTTCGAAATTATTCCAATATTTAGACAAGACTACAGTGCTAACATTTTGCATCCATAATCTTTAAAGTGATGATGTTGTCTTCAGAAATTACTTCATACAAAATGCTAACAATTTTTTTTTTAGTTGTCTACTGTCCAGTTTGGTAGCTGCGTCTTCTAGGTGTTTTTTTTTATTTGCGAACTGAAGTGCACCCTTAAAACCAAAAGTACTCCATTGAACACAGTGGGGGCTGAGTCTTCCAACTTATTGAGTTGCATTTGAGAATGAGTCCCCAGTAAAGAATAGTCTCTCAATGGATGCATAGATTAATCTAACTGCATTTGTATCCTAGGGTTTTTATCTAGAATTCTCATACTAGACTGAAGTTCAGGCTTTGCAGTTCCTTCTTTGTTAGCACAGGGATGATCAGTATTGATAAATCACTAGAATAGTGGAGCAAAGAAAGGTACTCAACTCCACGTTTCTTGTGAGTCACGAGATTGACATATTTTCACAAATGTTAGCATTTTTTTCCCCATGGTACAAATAAATACGCACCTTACATTTGCCTTCCTCTTAAAATTGCCTTCACTTTTAAGAATGCCTTTATCAACTTTGTCATCAAACTTTTTAAACTATTGTGTGTACTATAGCTAAAAGATCATGAGATTTTTTAAAAAATGAGCATCATTAATCAATTGAAAATCCAGATGTGAGCTTTGCTAAATGTTGTAATGTCTTTAATCCTACCATGGTGGTTATTGTATTCTGGACTAAAGTCAGGGTTTTTACTTCTATGAAACATATGTATTTTGGAAACTACTGTTAGCCAGATTTGCACAGTGGTGTCCATAAAACTTTGAACTGTTGAGATCAATGTATTGTTTTCAAGGTGGCTCAAGATCTGTTTCTCCCTGTTAGTGATTTTTTTCTTGCGTTCATGATGGAAAAATTCAGAACGCAATTCACCTTGTAGGCAACACTTGAAATCTCCAAAATATGAGTGTTGCTCAGTTTACATTTAGAGAATGAACCTTGTGTAATTATTTCTAGAATAGCTAAAAGCTGTAATGAATTTATCAAATTTTTGTAATGATGATCTTGGCTCTACCTCGCAAATACTTGTAAAGCATTTTTATATATTTTTATGTATTTCAAATTATGTACATAAAATAATTTAACATTTTGCAAGACTTTTCTGTTTCTTTAATGATCAAAATGGTAACTTCATTACTGGCACCAAGGACAGAACCTTTTAGATAATGAGGATATTGGATAGGTAGTGGGGTTGCAATACACTGCATTTTTTGAATGCTCCCTCACACCCCCTCCCCTGCCCCTTCCAAAAAGTATGAATCATGCTAGTTAAGTCATCCCAGGTTGCTAATTATTACAAGGATATTAAAAAAACCATCTTTATCTGGTTAAAGATTAATTTATAAACCAGAGATGCATTAGGTTCATTCAGAATTATTCACTTACTGGGTCTCATAAATTTGCCAATTTATTGACCTTCCCTTTATCCTGGGAATTTTTACTTTCATCTAGTGTGATAAATCATCATTAATCTTTCTAAGCCCATATAAACCACATTAAATAAATTCCAAGTATATTTCAGAGGAATTCAGGGTCCTAATTCTGTTTTCAAACTGATGTTTTGCTGTTTTACAGAGATTAAACTACTGTAATAAATCCTTACCAAAAATAAATGCTTGCTTGCTTTAATAGGGAGATGGTTTGTTATGGTTTAAATAGTTTTTGCAAATGTTTAGATTTTGTAGAGAGTATTCTCTTTATTGATGAGCTCTTGCTGTAGAAAATTTAGATGCATTATGAAACTTGAACTAATTCTCTAAATTCCCAGATAACTTTAAAACAAACGCAGATCAAGCAACTTAGGATGAATGCCCCGATCATATTTCACAAATTTACTGGTGAGAGAAGATCCACTTTTCAAGAATTTTATTCAAAATGTTCATCACTTGGTGATATGTTTTAGAAACAAATATAAAACAGGGACATATTTCCACTGGTAACTGTTGACAGCAGGGTCACAATCTTGGGTCTGGGAGGCAGCATCCTGCTCAGGGAAACCAGACTAATCCAACTAGAAGCAAAGCTTATTGCATAATTTCTAAACTAATTTCAGTATTCCAGAAGTTTATGAATGAACATGAAATATAAATACACCTTAGCATGTTGTAATATTGAAATCTGCTGAGGAACCACGTAACTCCTGTGTCATACAAAACTTAGTTTTACAAACTACTATCATTCATTTTCAGAAATATTCATTTAAAATCATCTGAAACAGTGCACATGTTGGAGAGGGTTAGAACGTGCAACTGGATTGTCAATAAGTAGGATCAAAATTGCTATTTTGTTTCAATAAACATGGTTAAGGTAGTTACAGAAAATCAAAGGAAAAGTAACAGTTGCCCCCCCCCCATTCTATGTGGCAGGAATTGCAATGAATTCCTCTCAAAAGATGAAAAGTTCTTAACATTTGCATATGAAAATTCTCTCTTGCGTGAATTTTTCTTTAAAAGAGATAATTATAAAATGGTCTTCAAGGGTTACCTTAATTGTAATATTGCAGACTGTAGAGTTTTGCAACTTTACACAGCTACATTTTTTTTCAGTTTTAACCCTATAAAGTAGTTTTAGAAACTCTGTGCCCCCCCCCCACCTGACCACTGTTATTTTTTCAAGATCATGTGGTTAATTAATTATTTAATCACTTTTCCTCATGCACATTATCACTGAGGTACTGAATTTCTTGCCCAGATCCTCTTGAAGCAAACACTTATTTTCAAACCCCATTAAACCCGGACTCCAATGCTGTTTAAATATCTCATATAGAATTGAAAAACACAATATAGTGAGCTCCAAAAGCTGTAATAATTGAACTGTCCTGTGATTGTGTAATAGTTGGTCAGTTACTGAATTAGATAATTCAATAGAGAAACTACCAATGAATGCTATGTTACAATCCCTCCTTTGCATTATTAATAATTTCTTATTGATACAAATGTCAATAGCTGTGAACTGAGCTGGCTTCTCTAAGTAACGATATATATGAAACAGAATGATCGCCTCAAGAATTAACGATTCATATTTTGCAAAGCACAAGTTGAAAAATAATTCTACATCTGTACACTGCAACATTATGGTGGAATAACCCTTGCTGCAACAGTGGATTAATTTTTATAAAGGGTTTCCCAAATCATTTGATTTTTAAAGATCTAATAATTGTGTTTTGATTTTATGCTATCAATAATACCATGACCTAGAAATAGCTCCCCATTTTGAATCTTTAACCATATTTGCACGTTGGTAAGTCAATAAAATCAACATTAAAATACATCAGACTGATGTTTTGCCCTGTACTCCTCTAACAGGATTATGGATGCTTCAACAGTTGTAGCAGTAGTAATTTGCATGTGGAAATATGTAATCAAAATCAAAATTTATCATAAATCTGCAATACAGAAGTCCATACTTTCTAGCAGGCGATCTACGTTGTCAGAATATTATGCAATATTGAATGGTTACATAACATCCTTTTTATTTTGACTCCAGTTATTTCACATTCTATATACTGCGCTCAACACTATCTTCTTTAAAGATTAATTTAGAATATAAAAACAGCAACTATTATCTGTGGAACTTGATCATGCTACCATCCTCATCATTGTTTTGCATATTTAGGTATGGAAATCAAACATTTGTGCATTTAAAGTTTAAATAGACTTTTCTCGATCTAAATTGTTTAGATCTCAGTTGGGCCTTTTTCTATTTAATGCTAATGAACAAAATTTATTTATCTAATGCAAGTTGTGCAAAAACTAGAGTGACACAGTGTATGCTTGCTCCAACCTAGTGTGCAACAATGTGGGAGTCATGATTGTTTCTCTGACAGTCTCTCAATAAGTTCTTGATAATTTACAAGCTACCAGGGGCAGTAGAACAGATTACATGGATTCCAACAAGAAGAAATAACAAATTGGAGAGGAATAGCCGTGGACTAGTATGTACTTTCTGAAAATCAGTTAAAGAGTGATACAAGCAGTAATGACTATAAATTGTCCACTTTCCCAAATGACAAATCTCATAGATGAAAGGCGAGGTGTTTCAGAGAGGTAGCAAAATTTGGAACGAAAATCCAGTTATTATCAATTTTCTGCCCTTCACAAAAAGAAACTGCTAAAACTATGGGGCTATTGATGAAGTTGAAACAAACAAATGAAAACCGGAAGATTTTGCACTTTGCAAGTTCAATTAATTCTGAATGTTTTGCTGACCTTTAGTTTCAAGAGTTTTCACTGGTATCATCTGGGCTTTTCATCTTGGAGAAGCATTTGCTTAAGAGGAAGTTTTTAATAAGGGAATGAAGTTACAGAAGACACAAAGCCTTTGGTAAATAAACATTTTTCCTGAGAAAGATCACTGACATGGTGATACTTTTCTTTTGACTGTACAAATAAAATAAGGCATTCAAAACAGATTGTCAAATTATCTTCCTTGCTCAAGGCAGTCAGTATAGGCTTACACCATTGGAGACCTGTGATATCCAAGAATTCTTATGCATGAGTGAAGTCCCCATTATTTGGTCACCATTGAATCACACCAGGTCCTATTCCTCTGTGCCTGGGTGATAATGACAGCAGATTATATGGTCCAAAATCATTGCATTGCATACAGAAATATAAAGGACTGATAAAGATGATGCCTGCAAGGACGGTAAGCATTTCGGAAGCCCTGATTTTGCCTGACTTAAAAATAGAAAGATTCGGTTCCAACAGAATCGTTTCCACAATTGGTGCTGAATGTTAGGACAGGCACCAGTCTTTAGTATCAGCGAAGACTGTAGGCAGAGAAGACTTGAGGAACGTGCGACTGCCTGGGCTCCATAAGGAAAAGCTGCTGTCACTCTATTGTGAATAGCTTAGCTTTTCAATGATATTGTGCTTTTGTTTTATTTTCAGAAAAATACCCCTATCCACCTCAGCAGAAGCTTTCATTTTGTCTTTTCACGTGTCCATTTGATCATAGTTTCTGGTGATCTGTACAAGAAGATGAGCTTGGCATACAGATCCTCCTCTAATTCCAGTTCTCCAGTCTCTCGAACCAGGAAGATATCTGTACATAATTTCAAAATTCGATCCACATTTGGCAGCTCTTCGAACATGATGTCGTGAGAGATCCCACTGAAAAACTCACGTACAAACTTCCCAATAACCAGCACAACTGATGCATACAGACCCATGATGCTGAAAAGTAACAAAAATAGTATCAAACATTAGGTAGGCAATGGAAATTCAGAAAAGGTTTCCTTCTTGAGTTGAAAAGATGTGAGCCAAGCAATTTGGCTATGCAACATTTAGGAGGCTGTTTAGCACCCTCAACTTAAATATCCAACATGTCAGATAGGAAGTACAGACTTATCATGAGCCATGAAGTAAGTCATTGAAATTGGTAAAGATCAAAAATTTGGCATGTAATGCCCATGCATTCAACAGCTGGTTCCTTTATATATGTAATAAGTACCTGATGCCTATTTAAGATTTCCATTGCAATACTGACCATCAGCTAGATTCTGGAAGACCAGGTCTAAGGCCCCAACTAATTTGATAAGATTTTAAAAGGCCCACTTCTAAAAGTGGAGCTGCAGCCACTCTCACCCAACTAGCATCTACTAATTTCCTTACAGACTAAATCTTATCTCTAACATCAGCTAAGCTCCCTCAAAATAAAAATCTACCTCTCTTATTAACTTGCAATCCTTATTAACTTGAGAGTTGTTCTTTTCATTTTGAGAGCTTAGAATAATGTAACAAATGCATCCTTCTTTTTCCCCCTAAAATCCAAAAGAACTGCGGATGCTATAAATCAGGAACAAAAACAAAATTGCTGGAAAAGCTCAGCAGGTCTGGCAGCATCTGCGAAGAAGAAAACAAGAGTTAATGTTTTGGGTCAGGTGACCCTTCCTCAGAACTCAGTTCTGTCAGTTCTGAGGAAGGGTCACCGGACCCGAAACGTTAACTCTATTTTCTCCTTCACAAATGCTGCCAGACCTGCTGAGCTTTTCTAGCAACTTTGTTTTTGTTCCTTTTTTTCCCTTACTGTGTATCTAGCTTTAACCGCCATGTGGGAAAATTAACACCTCCCCTCAGAGTCTTCCTCCATTTTAACAAATATTACCTTGCAGCAACTGTCACCTGGGAGACTGGTGAGTCACCACCCTTCACCAGAACAGAATTATGAAATAGTCGTAGCACAGGAGGAGAGCATCATGGTGTGTTGGCTCTGCAAAATTAAATTGACTAGTCCCATTCCCCTGCCCTTTCCCATTACTCTGCAATATTTTTTCTCTTCAGGTGTCATCAAATCCCTTATTGAAAACCCAACTGTGCAAGCCTTTACCACACTGTCTGATAGTGCATCCCAGGTACTAACTATTTGCTACATAGCATAGCCTTCTCTCATGTTACCACTGGTTCTTCTGCCAGCCATTTCAAATTGGTGTCCACTGGTACTTATATTGCAAAGGAAACAATTTCTTTCTATCCAGACCTTCATTATTTTGAGCACTTCTTTTAAATCTTCTCTCAACTTTCTCTATTAAGAACATCAGCTGCTGCAATCTATCCACATAACTGAAGTTCTTCACAGGAACCATTCTGTTTTTTTTTGTGTATTCTTCATAAAGTCATGGTCAGAATTAGGCACTGTGATGCCGGTTAAAACAATGTTTCACGAAATTCATCATAAACTTTCCTGTTCTTGTTCTCCATGTTCTATTGGCTTGGATCCTGTAAACCTTTTAAACAATTTCTCAACCTGTTCTACTACCTTGAAAAAATTGTGCATATGCACTCCCACGTCTTTCTGTTCATGCACCCCTTAGAATTCTACTTTATTGTATTTTCCCACCCGTTGTTCTTTCTCGTGAAATATCATACTGCTCCACATTAATTCATCTACCATCTCTTTTCATTTCTCCAACCTGTCTGTCAGCATTAAGTCTATCTTAAAAATTCAAAATATAATCTGCAAATTTGAATTTGTGCTCTGTGCAACCAAGCCTAAGCAATTAGTATACCAAAAAAAAACCTGTCAGGAGCATCCCTGGGAAACTCCACTGTTTTTTATCCCTGGGAAACTCCAGTCTGAAAAACAGCCCTTCACCACACCGTCTGTTTCTTGTCACTCATCCAAGTTTGAACACGTGGGGGAACTGTCCATTTTGTGTGATGGACTTTCACACTGCTGGCAATTTATGATGGCATTTTATCAAAAGTCTTTTAGAAGGCCATCTAAGCCTCTGGGTGTTGGTTAGCTCAGTTGGCAACTGGTTTGCAATGCAGAGTGATACAAAAAGCTATGTGTTTAATTCCCACACCAGCTGAGATAATCATGAAAGTCCCACCTTTTCAACTTCTTCCCCTCATCTGGATGTGGTGACCCTCAGGTTAAACCACAACCAGTCATCTCTCTCTAATAAGAGCAGCCCAATGGTCTGTTAAGATAATGGTGACTTTATACTTTATTTATTGCAATACTTCCATAAACTACATCTATCACCTTAAAACACTCAAGTTAGTAAAACACAACTTACCTTTAATAAAACCTTTCTGGATCTCTTTAAGTATTTTGCACTTGTTCCAGTGAGTTAACATTTTCTCTGATTATTGTGTCTAAAACATTTCTTACCATTAATTTTAAATAGATTAGACTGTAGTTGGTCAGTTTATTATTGTATCCTTTATTAATTTCCTAGACCATTAACGTCAGCAACATTTTCCTTGGTAAAGACATGCAAAGTACTCATTTAGTATCTTAGCCTTGCTCTCCAGCTCCATGTTTAAATGTCATTTATGGCCCCTCAATTGCCCTTTTAATAATTTCCTGCTTATGGGTAACTTTTAAATTCAGTTTCGTGTGCCTTCAGTCTCTTCTTATACATTTCATTTGTCTTAACTCATTTCCTTTTCATTCTCACTGAGATTTTCATATTCATTCTGGCTCTTGTATTATCAACCTGATATCTGTTATATACCAACATAATAAAGAACTATGAATGCTGAAGAAAACCGAAAGAACTATGGATGCTGAAAATCAGGAACAAAAACAGAAGTTGCTGGAAAAGCTCAGCAGGTCTGGCACCATCTGTGAAGAAAAAAATTAGTTAACATTTCAGGTCCGGTGACCCTCAGAATGCTGAAGGTCTGAAACAAAAACAGAAATTGCTGGAGAAAGTCAGCAGGTCTGGCAGCATATCTGGAGAGACAGTAAATATTTTGTGTGCTAGGTGTGACTCTAACCAACTTCCACTATGTTTAAAAAAACACTTCACTACAGTCCAATAAAAATATTAATCATTCAAAGGTTCAGTAGCTGAAAGTGCAAGCACTTGAGATCTATTCATCTTGTGTAAATAATATTGTTAAATTGAAAGTATGTCTTAGCCTTGTGTAAATGTTGTGAAATGGATCAAAACTGAGTCTTAAACAGTGTCTTAAAGGAGAAAAGGTCGAGAGACAGCTCCTCTTTCAATGATAGAAGAAAAAGGCATATTCAAAACGTTAAAATGAGATGAAGAGGGCTCTGCAATTCACAGATGCCATGCTGGTGTTTGACAGGAATATAGATAGATGTTATGTTTCAGCAGGAGGTTATGAGTCATCAAGAAATATCCCCTGAAGCTGAAAGTAATGTGTGTTGGTGAACAGGTGAATCCTGGTGTCTGGCTTTGAGGATCTTGCAGCAATGTTGGAGCAAGTTTAATGGCTTTGTTTGGGTGGTCAAAGTTAGTCAATACACGTTAATTTTTTTTAAATCTTGTACCTCGTGAACTACCAATCCCTCAGGCTATTCAATACACAACACCTCCATCACTCACCTATCAGCAGCTTCTAGCACTCAGATCTATTGCGCAACATTGAAATATTCTATTTCTGTGTTTTTCAAGTATCGCACCTTCCATTTATTGCCTCTACATTTCTCCACCTACTCAGCTATGCCAGGTACGGCAATCAAACATGGTGTAACATAATCGTTGACATTCTGTTTTAGTGATTTGAAGACATAGTGACAATTAATACAAGGGAACAAAATTGAAACTATCAAGAGACGGATATGCCTTTTTTTCCTTGAGCTAATGATAAGTGGGCTGTGATGTGGCAATGCTGGATGGTATTGCCGAGGAGAATTCTGGATGACAGTATGTTCCTGCCTTATCCTGCCTCATTATAAACCAACTGTTAAGGCATAATGTACAAGCTGTAGATGATGTGAACATGGATCTCTTGATTTACACCAATGACACCTCTTCTGATTCAGTGAATTCAATACTTAAGAAGTGCCTCAGCAAATACAGGAGGGAGAGAGAGAGTAACATACTGTCATGCATAAAGTAGTATTGTCACTTGTTCTGACATCTGCAACCACCAGCCTGTGGCTGATATGTATTTGGCTGTGAATGACTGTCACATGGCTGAGGTTTCAGGAATGAGTGCTAAATTGACATCCCCATCAGTCTCTCCTCAAAGTACTGGTGCATGACATGCTCATGCCAATGGCCTCTGGGATGGGTCAAAAGTGACCAGCAGCACAGCCCAGTCCATTCCATTTTATGTTTTTAAGGACTCTGTAGTGCCATAATGATGCATGTATACCTAAATGAATGGAAATTAACTTTGCATACATGTGGGAAAAGCCAAGAAATTTGAAGTTTTCATTAAGTAATAATGAATTATAACAAAAACATTTTAAATGTATCAAAAAAAATAAACAAAATCTCATCTTACCCATAACCAGCAAGAAATCCAAGGCTAGGTGGGCTAACTTTATCACTGAATACAATAATTTCAAGGCTTTCTTTATCATCATTTCTGTAGAATCTTTCAGACTGATTAACAGTCCACCATTCCTGACAGTGGTCTGAAGAGCAGTTTCCTTGCTGAACCAGTTTTACAATGAGTTCACAGTAGTCAGCATCATCTATTGAGGGAATTGAACGCAACAAACATTATATTGAAAAAAAGTTACATATTTTTATCAATACCTTTGTTGTAAGTAATAAAAGACAAACACCATGTCAGGATGTCTCAAAATTTGGAAAAAGGTAAAACTTCTAAAATATAGATGAATGGATAATAAGGTGACATCAAGCTTGGCCTTTAAAGTTTGAAAATATAGAAATGAAGACTATGGAAAGTCAGAAATTGTGAATCATTGGTGACTACTAACTGGCCTCCTAAAAGCCTAGTAAACAACTGTGTATCATATAAAAGGATAATGAGGATGGACAATAAATACTAGCCATGTTGATGCTATCTGAATCTTAAGGATGAATTAAAACTAAATATTTTTGAGAGTTTGGCAAAGAAGGTGTTCAAGTAAGCAGAAGATGCAGTAAGTTTTGATTTCAACATAGTCAAGGTGAAAGAATGGCCATAATGGCATTTTAGAAAATGAAATAAACCAAATTGGATTTTTGTCAGTTAAGAGAGAAAGATCGGAAAAGTGAACAATTCCAACATATGGATGCATTTTTAAGAGTTATAACAAATTAATTTTCAGTTTAATTAGTAACTGAATTGAAACATTGGAAATTTCTTCAGAGCAACTCCTACCTCCTGCTAGAATTGAACCATATTCTCAGATTTGGAAGATTTGACTAGAACAATGTGAGAAACTATTTTCCTAGGAGAGACTAGTATTAAATATATTTTCAGGATAGGTTGTCAGAGCTTCAGTGTTGCTGTTAAAAGTTACATTTTGTCAAAGCTTGCACTCATCCAAACATTTCATATTAATACAAAAGCAGGGTGAAACGCACAAGAGGAAGTGCTATTTAGTTGGTACATGCACATTGATTGACAGAGGCTTTGCAATGGAGAATGTTCCCATTAATGCTGATTGACAGTTAGCAGTTAGGTTTATATTCTAAACCAGGCAGAATAAATCTGACTGGTCAGGGCATTGCGCTGAGAAATTAACCAAAGGATCGGTGTTATCTATTTTGTTGAGTTGAAACAGGTACAGTGTGTGTCCACATTCATTCTGTCTGCAAAGAATAGGAACATGTGTATTAATATACATAACTTCCAGTACATGCAAGTACACCACATTGCAAGCCAACTGACAATCCTAAATACAATAACCAATGCTGTCTCAGCATAAGTGGTGTTTGCCACAATCCGGATGTTGTCATTAAAACAGTGCTCAGCCTCCCACTCTACCCCAGCCCCAGTAAGATAATTATGATGTGATGCTAAGAATGGGATTTGTCATCAGTGAAGTTGACTTAGACACACTTGGAACTTGGACTAAACCATAAATGTTTCATGAATGCTGTGTCCTACCCATTTGTGTGTATAGTGTGAATACTTACTTTTAATAAAATGTTGTTCATATATGTATGAGACCTTGTCTCTCATAACATCCTCAATATAATCTCACAACATCACTCCCCTGTAAAATTCAGCCTGTGGAGTTCAAGCCGAAGATTAACTATGGTATTATTGAATGTCAAAGTAGATTTGATGGCTATGTAGCGTACTCCTATTTATTATGCTCTTTTATCACTTATACTGAAGTGTTAGAAATCCCACCTAAATAGATAACAGGATGGGCGAGTGTTGTAATTATAAAGAAGTTTTGGAGTTGAAGTGGGAGCAGCTTTGAGAAAATCCTTGGCTAACACTTTAGTTTCAAGTCTTATTTATTCAGTTATTCACTTATTATACATCACAATATTCATATATTTCTGTATGGAGCATTGTAAATATGCAGACTTACTTTCATAAAGTTGTTTCACAGGTTTTGATTCAGAATCACTGGGAGCCCTAATGTAGTTTGGAAATATATTTTCAATTTTTCTGTAATATAAAAACAGTTTTATTCATATGTAGTTTGTCAAAAATAAGAAAAAATGTTCTTGCTGCTTAATGATCTAAATAATGGCCCTAAATTTCTACAATGCCTCAGAAAATTACATCATTCACCAGCAGAGCCGAATTGGTGAGTTAACTGACAAGTGAAATAATGATGTTCTGGCAAAATTCTGCTCTCAAAACATCAAAGACAATTTTGACCCCAGGACATCCCAGTGCAGAAGCAGTTCCAACTTTGTAAAGACTGTGAAATTTACTACAGCAGTTGAGGACATCAAGTTGTGGATTAAAATTCCATTCAACTAACCTGGGCAAAAAATTGTGGATTGATAATCCAATGTGAGCACAAGATGCTCCGTTGAAGTGCAATCTCTCAGGTGAAATATTAAATGAAAACGTCACCTGTTCTCTCAGTTGGATGCAAGAGATCCCATGGCACTGTGCCTTAACGTCAGCAAAACTAAAGAACTGATCATTGACTGCAGAAAGAAAAGAGAAGAACATGCCCCCACCTACATCAATGGAACTGAGGTTGAGACGGTGAAGAGCATCAGGTTCCTCGGTGTGACGATAACTGACAAACTGTCCAGGACTTCCCATGTAGACACAACAGTCAAGGTGGCACAACAACGCCTCTTCTTCTTTAGGTAGCTCAGGAAATTTGGCATGTCCATAAGGTCCCTAACTAACTTCTACAGATGCATCACTGAAAGCATACTGTCCGGGTCCATAATGGCCTGGTATGGCAACTGCTCTGCCCAGGACCGTAAGAAACTACAGAAGGTGGTGTGCACAGCCCAGACTA